CGAATTACCGTAGCTATTTTCAGGTGCAATCTTTTGTTTTTGATTAAGTTTCAATTCATTAGATATGGCGAGTCAGAATAAGGTGACGTTAAAAGCGCTTATGAAAGCAGGGATCTGTCTGCAATCTTGTTTGTCGTTGTACCCTATTTTCCGTCACAGTTTATCCGTCCCAGTACGCCTGCCATAGGATCATCACTTTTACAACTATCCGACCTTCGAACTATAGCAGTGTCAAAGGTGAACGTGGAAAATCTTTATAGGCTTCCACTATTTAATAAAAAAAAAAACTCCAACCCATTGGGGTATTTAGTATCAGACTTAACGACAGCCAATAAGCACATACAGTAAAAAGAGAAACCAGCGAGGGTGTATTATAACACTGCACCGGACGAGGGCGCTAAGCGTGTACTGCACGCCAATATACCATTACAAAGTCTAAACACCTAAACGCCTGGTCTGTCCTATAAAAACTGACGTATTGTAGCTCTTCGGGACAAACTTTAGTCGTCTAAGTAAATAACGTTAACAATATAAAAACATTATTCAGTATCGTTAAAGGGTCGTTGAAATTATGTGAGTTTGGCGGCGGTTGGATCGTCTGAATGTACATACACGCACCGGAATGCTGTGGCAGTCCGTATCAGGATAATCTTTGGGTGACCGGTGGCACAATTGCTGAATATATGCAATGAATATTAGGAAGTGCATAACATTTGGCAATTATATTAGTTCTTACTGTGCTGAGGTCTTAATTTTTCAATTTAATCTGAATTTATTGCGTGCGCCCCGAGGCTCGGGTGCGTAAATACGGTACCCATCCGGGGATGAAGGCTTCAATTAGTGCAGGCGTCAGCAAGAGACTGGTCGTCACGTGTTGTCACTCTCGCCTGCACAGCCGGCTCCAGACCCGGCAGACAGGGAGGACACAGTGTTACAGGATAGCAGCTCCTCGCGTAGTCAAGCTCAGGGAGATGGAAGAATCGCTCTCGCTGCACTCGGACCGGGCGGAAGACGTGGCCAGCGACTCCAGCTACAGGCACTTCCGCATTAAGCACTTCCACCTGGACTTGGAGGTGGATTTTGAGCAGAGGCAGTTGCGGGGAACCGAGACGCTGCAAGTGAGATGCCTACGGGATTCCCAGAGCGAGTTGCGCCTGGACGTCCACCCGTCCCTGAGGCTGCAGGAGGTGTCCTTCCTCGGGGTCGGCGGCACGGAGTGGACGGCGGCGCAGTTCGAGACGCGAGGATTCACCAGCTACGGCACCACGCTGGTGCTGAGATTTCCCAACCCGTGGAAAAGCAAGGATGAGTTTCAGGTCGCGATCAAGTACTGCGCGACCGATGGACCAGGGGTAAGGATACATCAGTTTTACAAACCAGGGGGAGAGTAAAGGATGCCTTTAGCGGACAAATGAGAGAGAGCGAGAATTAATATGAAGGATTTTGGCTGGACTCCCAAATTAGTGCTTGTGGTTCAAGTTTAAACGGTGTTGTTGCAAGTTTGAGTAAAGTGATCTCATTAGTCCCAGACCACTCCGTATTAGTGGGTTTGTGACAGCAGTCTGATGTGTGGGAGAGATCACAGTTTCTATTACTGTAAAGCAACAGATTTAGTCCAGGTTCTCGTACGGAGTTTTATCATTAACGAGAACGATAGATTTACACAATTTAGTAGAATTTGTGTGCGTCAGCGTTCACTCAGGTGTTCAGATCGATATCAATCCACAAGTCCTGCTGTCTTGAAGTGTCCGGGGGTCGCTCTCTAGTTGTAATGCTCTTTAACTGAATTTGTTGGCTGTTTTTAGTTTTCTTTAGTACGAAAAGCCTGTTTCAGTTTCATTTTTTGCCAAATAAAAAGACCTTGTGATGTCTGGAAACGTAAATCCTGCCTGCGGTTTGCGACGTCTGTACAGTATATAGAAGTTCAGTCCTGAATATGTGACTTCCAAACTTATAAAATAAGTTCTGCTGACATATGGGTTAAAAATACTTTTTTTCCCACTAACATATTTAAAGAAATATTGGGAACCAAAATAACTTTATTTCACTCACCGTTGTCTAACTCTCTGGTTGGACCTGTTTGGGAATCTGAGCTGCAAGTTTGGTAACATTGTTTTAATTGATCGCTGGTGACTCGATCAGGTGTATCACTGTGGCACAATCGCTAAATTGTTTTGTGAATGAGAGAGTTGATTGGCTACAGGAAATGAGGTGATTTAATCTGTTAAATTCTGTTTCTTAAGACTTAAGAAACACAGAAAGGAACCAGTGTCCCCCACTTATCATGACAGCAATCTTTTCCAGTCATTGGTGTGTTGGAGTAATGTCTTAGGCGGACTCCCCACTGCTCTTTACTGACCAAGGTGTGGTGTAGACCACTCTGGTGGAGACCAGGGACCATGGTGCTGATCTGCAGAAGGGAGGTCTGACTGAGATGCTCTTGACAGGTGTGTCTAGTTGCAGTGATTGACGACACTATGTTGATCCGATCTTGGGATCTCACTTGCTACCGTTCCTATGAATGTATCCTACTTACTAGGCTTGAGCCCCAGTGAACATCTGTGGGATGAGGTTGGATAACGCAACGCATATGAGACTGAGACCAATGAACAGGCACATGCAAAAACCAACTGTGAAAGTGTAAGTTTGAATCCCACAAGACAGCATCTCCAACTTGGTGCAAAGCATGTATCTCAGACTCCCTGCCGAAGACAAGTGTCAGTCTGCACAGTGAATTGGCATTGTCATGTCTGTCCAGTCATTCCCAGTGCCAGATTTTGGTGTTCGTAGGCCCCAGGCACTTTCCCTTTGAAATGTGGGAAAAGAAGGGTAAACGCTAATTGAATTGCGGCGATTGACATGCTGCGCTTTAAAATATTCGAATGATTGATGGAGCGACTCCTAGTTTCTAGAACAGCCGCTAGATCGTGTATGATTATTGATTTGGAGCACCTCGAGTCGATCGCAAGCGTGTTGTTTCAGCTCGTTTTTCGTTAGCCACTAGTGTTTCCCTCCTTCGTAGGCCCTAAACATTTCACAGGGGCTTGGCACTGTGCTGGCCCTGGTAATACCTGCTTCAAGAAAGCTTCTCGTTTTCCTGGTAAAGGTATATTTCTTTTCAACTTCACACGCCCATTTCTGTATGTTGACACAAGTTCACAGCTCTGGTTTCCCGGTGCTCAACCGGAGCCCGTTCCCAGGCTTCCACAGGCCGCTGGGGAGGAGCCCCCTCTCTGCTGCGGTGCAGGTTACGGTCTCCGCACGGCCCCGTCTCTCAAGGCTCTGCCTGTCTGCCTCTCTCCCCCCTCCGCCGCTGCAGGTGTGCTGGCTGGAGCCCGAGCAGACGGCGGGGAGGACAAAGCCCTTCGTCTTCACGCAAGGCCAGGCCGTGCTCAACCGGTCCTTCTTCCCCTGCTGCGACACGCCGGCGGTAAAGAGCACGTACTCCGCCTCCATCAAGGTGAGGCAGCGGCGACGCCCCCCAGCCGCACCCCCCCAGCAGGGCTTGGGGGCCCCAGCCTCGTCTTCACTGTCCCATCAGGAGAACACAAAACGGGAAAGACTGCGGACGAGGAGGACATCCAGCCCTCCTGCCCCTTTTGCTTATAGATCTGAGGATATCGCCCAGTCATTTATAACTTCAACACCACATGGCTGGGTAGCTTGTTCCCCACTCCCACCACCCTTTGTGTACAGAATTGCCTCCTGTCCTGACTGTAGGACCTCATCCAACTGTTTCTGAAAAGAAACTGGAGTACTGATTAAAACTGCATGGTTGCGTAGCTTGTTGCACACTCCTACCACCCTTGGTGTAAAGATGCACCTCCTATGGTCCACTTTAAATGCACTTGATGCATCAAATGATTATTACATTGTTGGGCTTTTTTTTTCCTTATGAAAACCTTTAACAAATGAGAGATTGAAAAGCACTAAGAAACCTGCTGTGCTGCTGGAAGATCCCTTTCAGTTCTCCAGCAGCAAGCGCTGCTCGTGTTGCCTCAGATCTGTGTAGCCGGGCAGGGTGTCAGACCCTGGGGACGGCCTCTCTGCTTGCATCTGACCCCTGTGGCCTTGTGTCCCTGCTGCACACAGGTCCCAGAGGGGTTCACTGCAGTGATGAGCGCCACCACCTGGCAGCACCGCAAGGCCGACAACGTCTTCCTGTTCACCATGGAGCAGCCCATCCCATCCTACCTGGTGGCTTTGGCTGTGGGGGAGCTGGTGTCAGCCCAGGTGGGCCCCAGGTGAGCCCAACTGGGGGACAGGCAACCTGCAGCAGCTACCCCATGGGTAGTCAGTAACTAATCTTTACCAGGATCTCCTCCAGCAGTTCCCGGAAGCCTCACAGACATGGCTCGGTAGCTTGTTCCACTCCCCCACAGCCCTTTGTGTAAAGAGGCAACTCACTGATTCTGTAGCAGTCCCCTGGATTGTCTTTGCCAGGCCCTTGGAGGTGTTTGAATGCTTGAATGAGGCCGCTGTAGAGAGCCACATCCTGTAGCGTAGACGCATGGGTACAGGTGGCAGCAGGAACAGCTCTGAATTTCTGCTGCAGGGCTCTAGCACTGTACCTTTACAGTCGCACCCCAGCGTGGTCCACGGCGCCCCCTACAGTGATGCTGAACAGCGGGATTTTCCTTCCTGGGCCAGTTTTAAACGTCTTGGCTCCAGGCCACAGCTGCGCAGCTCTGACCATCTGGCTGGTGTGTTTTGATGCATAAAAATCCAGTGGAGGTAAATGTTATCTCAGTTCTGGGAACTAAGAGCTGTGGAAGAAGGAAGACCTGAAGTCCTATAGTGCCTTCTTTAGGACCAGCTCTGCTGAAACGCCTCTGTACTGATGAGATGAGCAGATTAAGTTCCGTTTTTCATTTTCCTTTGTTCATGCTGTCACTTCCATGACCAGATCCTCCATGACAGTGAAGATCTCTACGTAATGTGGGTTTGGGTTATACAGCGGTAATGCTCACCTTTTCCATTGGCTTCAACAGTAATATCTACAGATTGAGGTTCTTCCAGCAGAGCTGTTCTTGTGGTTGAAGACCATATTTGTAATCCTGTGCTGTAAATCTCATGCTCGTTGTTAAATGGTTGATCTCAGCCTCTAGAGTTTCTTCATGAGAAACTTTCAAATGCCATGAGACCTCAGCATACCATGGAAAATTACAAAATAACCACGGCACAGAATCAAAATCCAATGTGATTTAACCTCAAGAAGCACCTCTGTATCCTCTAGATTGTGATCCCCTGCAGCTGACCTCCAGAATACAGATAATGATTTGCAATAAAATCAGGCCTGAGGCATGTGGGCTTGAAACTATTTTCTAATTGTTTGCACCTCATTCAGATTACCTTTGAAAACAAACTTTGCTTTGAAAACTTGCAAGGGCCTGTTCCTCGTCAGGCTGCGTTTGAGGGGCTCCTGTCTGCCGCCAGGAGAGAATCAACCTGGATTCTTCCGAGAACACTTTGAGCTCGGCCTCTTCACAGCGGCGAGTGCCAGCTCGCTTGATCCTTGAGCCTCCTTATCAGTGCCAAAGCCCTTGCACAAGGAAACTGCTGTGTACGTTAGTCATCAATCTTCGTTCTTCACATCCTCTTGAATGTGAGCAGCCTGTTTGAAGTCCGATTTAAAAACAAACCACCTTAGTGGAGACTTCAGAGTGTCAGTCATTTCTTTTTTTTCAGCAAACATTGGCCTGTTCTGTTTGATCATCACAGGCTCGGCCTTTTTTTCCCCCGTTTACAAAGTACGTTTTAACAACCTGATCTCAAAGTACTACACAAAATCATGTCAAGTGTAGAGAACAAAGTTGTAAGATTTTTTCTTTTTTTAAATGCAACAGAAGGTGTTTTTTTGCTTATTGGTCCCAAATAAGATCAGTGCTGAGATGTAATGTAACATGAATATCTTCTTGCATTCACCAGGTATCTCAATTTGTACACAGATCCCTGACCCACCACTTAAATACATTAACTGGCCAAAAAATTAGCACCACCCACAGGTTAAAATGTTGTAACCTCTGCAGAAACAAAGACAGGTTTGACTCGGCTTGCGTCCCACAAGGTTTTAAAATGGGTGCAGTCCGCTCACGTGCCCGTTATCCAGCAGGATCATCTCCGTGTGGGGTTGCAGTGAGGGTACTGGTGTTGAAGGTTGGAACGGCACTTTCCAGGAGATTTGGCCAGGGGTGCTGATGGGACCACACATCACCCGTCAGGAGAAAACTCTGTTCATGTGAAGGACCTTGACATGCAGACTCTTCTTCTCCAGTCGTAAATGCTGAGATTATGTCAGATTGCCGAACCCTGTCCAGTCCAGCCGAAGAGTGGAGTCACTCAACTGAAGCGTTAATAGGATTGTAGTCTCCATCTGGTGTGCTTTGTGGAGAAAGGCCAGCCTGTGTGTTAATATTGACCTCGCCGTGCACCAGGTGAGGTCGAGATAAGATGACGGATATTGGAAGGGTCCAGTAATTCGTAGTGGAGCCGCTTGTCCAGCCGGCTGTCCACTGTACCACTGTCCCTCCCTGCAGGACGCGGGTGTGGACCGAGCCCTGCCTGCTGCCGGCGGCCCAGCAGGAGTTCGACGGTGTGATCGAGGAGTTCCTGGCTGTGGGGGAGAAGCTGTTCGGGCCCTACATGTGGGGCAGGTGAGTATCCCCGCTACTGTGGGGGGGGGTGTCAAACATACCTCCAGGCCTGAGGGACTGCGGGGTCCCCTGTCAGGATTTGACCTCTGTTTGCAATTTTCGGAGTCAATTATCCGGTTAAATGTGTCCTGTCTTTTCTAGGTCTGAATCTAAAAGTTCATTTAAAAATTAAAGGAGTCTGGCACTCAAGGACGGTAGTTGGTCAGTCCAGGTTGTATTTCTGGAGGCGTGTGTGTGCAGCTGTGTTTAACTTATCTATATTAAGACACGTGAATATAATTTGTTTTCAAAACTGCTGCTTCAGAGCCATTTACATCAGGATCCCGGTGCTCCAGGCGCAGAAATCAATTAAGGGTGATGAAGTCATTGCATCAGCCAGCTTCCTCCAGACCACCGTTTTAAAAAACCCGACAGGGCACAACACTGCCAGGGCTCTTCCTGTGACCTGCTGGGCAGTAACAGGCTCGCACAGCCTGACGGAGAGAGACAGGCCTCTTCGCTCAGAAAGTGGTCAATTCCCTGAGGCCGTTCTGCCCAGCTAGAGCGCTTTCAGATGCATTCTGTTCCAGGCCTATATGTAGTTAATGACTAACAGGATCAGTAAACCATTGGATTGTATAGAAATAAAATGTTATCGTTATTAATGACTGCCAGAGCCTGGTAAAAAAAAAAGATTACAAGTACAGTAGTTCCTTGCTATAGGAGCAACTGCTGTACATTTTTTTTATAAATCCAGAATTAATGGGAATTGAATTTCTGTTTATAACAGGTTTCTTGCTCCAAGCAATTTTTAAGGAACATATTAAGATTGAATAACGAAGGATTACTGTATGGGGTTAATTACACCAGTGCTGGCTTATCCTGGTCCTGGAGGGACAGTGAATCTGCAGATTTCCATTCTGTCCCGACTGTTACAATTCCACTCACCTTGTTATTGGCTTAACTGGACCAGTTAAACAGCAGCTCCCCGCTCTTCGAGAGCTGCTGCTTTAAAGAGACCTTGAAGATCTGCAGAGATGCCAACCCTGCAGGACCAGAACTGGGCCAGAACTAGACTTCCCTGGATCGGACCGGCTGCGTAACGGGGCAGCTCAGCTGGGGTTAGACCCAGAGATCCCTGTTCCAGGCCTTAACTAAATTAGAGATGAGCTAGAGCTTCTGGAAGCAGGATTGCAGGAGGTACCACCTTAACATTAACGTCTTTGAAAGCGGCTGGTAACACTCAAACCGTTTAGAGAGAGGGTTTGCTGTTCACCCCCAAAACACAAAAATCAGGACAGTGTCACGCCCGCAGCCTGGCAGTTCTGTTTGTGGTGCGTGAGAAGTGTAGTTGAACTTCTGCACACCTGAAGGAGGCACAAAGGATGGTGATGTGGAGCACAAACCTGCGCGCTATTGCCTCTCAGGTACGACGTGCTGTTCATGCCCCCCTCCTTCCCCTTCGGCGGCATGGAAAACCCCTGCCTGACCTTCGTCACGCCCTGCCTGCTGGCCGGGGACCGCTCGCTGGCCGGCGTCATCGTGCACGAGATCTGCCACAGCTGGTTCGGCAACCTCGTCACCAACGCCAACTGGGGCGACTTCTGGCTCAACGAGGGCTTCACCATGTACGCCCAGCGCCGCGTCTGCAAGGAGATCTTCGGTACGCCAGGACGTGATGGCCTGCTGTCCCGGCCGCGCGACCCGCCGTGCTCTTCTATTGAAAAGCTCTCAAGAGCCCAAACTCGAGTAGCGGGACCTTCTTGCCTTTGTTTCTCCATAACTAGCAGCCATATCACCCTGCAGGTCACAAATGGCAGCCCATTGAAGCTCAGCAGGTGTGAGCCTGGTCAGTACCTGGATGAGAGACCTCCTGGGAAAAACTAAGGTGGCTGCTGGAAGTTGGGGAACCAGCAGGGGGCGCTCACCCTGCGGTCTGTGTGGGACCTTATGCCCCAGTATAGTGACGGGGACACTATACTGTAAAAGGGCGCCGTCCTTCAGATGAGACATAAAACTGAGGTTCTGACTCTCTGTGGTCTTTACAAATCCCAGGGTGTTTCTCAAAAAGAGTAGGGGTGTGATCTCCCATTGGCGCTTACCAATCATGTTCTCCTAATAATCCCCATCTCTGAACTGGCTTCATCACTGTGTTCTCCTCCCCACTGATATACTGATGTGTGGTGAGGGTACTGGTCACTATGCCTGCTGTTGCATCATCCAGGTGGGGCTGCACACTGGTGGTGGAGGGGAGTCGCCATTACCTGAAAAGCGCTTATAGTGGAGTGTCCAAAAAAGTTCTATATACATGATTGGTGAGTGCCAGAGGGGAAAAATCTATTATATACTAAGTTAAATTATAAATCTGGAAAATATGGTCTTTTTTTCATCCTTCAAGCTCCAAAAGCGGTATCCTGTGAACGGGTCACCTTTGCTGAATGTCATTTGAGATGCTCGCTTGTGCCACCTGACTCTCCTCCCTTCCCCAGGGGAGGCCTACACCTGCCTGGAGGCGGCCACTGGCAGGGCCCTGCTGCGCCAGCACATGGACAACACCGGACAGCAGCACCCGCTCAACAAGCTGAGGGTCAAGATCGAGCCAGGTCAGCTCGGCCCGCTCCTGTGCGCCGTCGGAAAGCCGGGGCGATCGGTTTGAAAGGCGGCTGTTCGTTTTCGGCTGTGGGATGGGGCGTGATGTTCGCTTAAGCCGACCTGATAAAGCTCGCCCTCGGTGCCCTGCAGGTCCAGGCGACTACAAGCATGGGATCACCATTGAGAGCAGGCCATTAGTTTTAATCCTTTTATCTTTGTTTATTTAAACCAAGAGCAGAAGTGACCCCGTATTACAGGCAAAATTAAATGACCTCTTCTAATACGACCTCTTATTTGTAACTGAATCAAAGGTTACACGCGTAACTTGAGAATTAACATTACCAGATGTGCCGTTACTTAAGATTAAATTTACACATGTTCCTAGATAATTAGGAAACTCAAACGTCGCATATAAGGAATATTATAGTGTAAGAAACTGAGGGTTTTATACAATTTACAAATTTTACATGTTAAATATTATTCAGAGCAAATAAACTGTTACCACCCTGCAAATAAAGAATATTGAGAGGAGACGGTTCGTTTTAACTCTTTCATGATCTTTATTTAAACTAAGAGCCTGACCTGCTCACTGCTTCTCCGTCCGCTCGACAGTAGCAAAACAAAGAGCTGGACGGTTTGGCATTACCACACCCTGAACCGATCCTCATCTGTCTGCCCCCACCACAGGCGTGGACCCCGATGAGACCTACAACGAGACCCCCTATGAGAAGGGCTTCTGCTTCGTCTCCTACCTGGCCCACCTGACCGGGGACCAAAGCCGATTCGATTCTTTCCTCAGGGTCGGTGTCATCACTCCCCTTGTGTGGGAATCGTCCTGTTGGGGGAGGGAGGATGTAGACCTTCACAGACTCTTTAATAAGGAAAGGTGCCAGAGCTTGACTGTCAGCAGGCTGTGCAGAAGCCACACAGTCAGACGCACGGCTGTGAATCTCCACACCCTTAAGGAACAGGATTTGGCAGAAACGATTCCAGATGCTGATCGCAGCCTAGTACTCGCTCCTCTGTCCTGTCACCCCTCAGTGCACTTGGTAATATAATCCAGGAACCCACCCCCCCCCAGCCAGCCTGGGTCATGCTGGTCTCCAGTTTCACTCCTGATTCCTGTCGCTCAGAGTGGAAGAGCACTGTTGTCAGCATGAGATCCAGCTCATCTGGCTTTTTTTTAATACATGTACTTTATGAAAATCTGTAATGGGGGTGTTAGTGGGATTCCCTGCTCTCTTTAATGCACCATCATCTGTAGAGCTGGGAGAACTGGATTCAGTCAGCCCATGTAGGGCACGCTGGGACCAGTGGTTTAGGGGAGGTATATGCAGATCTGGAGTGGCTTCAGTCAAGACCAAAGTGGTGAGCAGCTCCAGTCCTTGAGGGTTAGCAGCTGATGGCCAGATGACCTTTGCCCCCCTGTCCAGGCCTGCCCTTAGGTACCGGTGCTGAGAGCATAGCGCTAGTGTTTTTTTTTCTCCAGGCCTACGTGGACAAGTTCAAGTTCCGCAGTGTGGTGGCCGAGGACACCCTGGAGTTTTACCTGGAGTACTTCCCGGACCTGAAGGAGAAGGACGTCCACCGGATCGAAGGTAGGGTTCTCCTTTGAGGGAGCAGGGTGCTCGATAACAGAACCGGCCTGCCCTCTCCTCTCTGGCCGTTACAGGATTCCAATCCAGCCAGCCTGTCAAAAGTGCCCCTTCGCTCCCATTTTCCATGTTTTTGGAGGCAGTGCATTTCTTTGGGTTGAGCAGTTTTATTTTTTGAGGTTTCTGTCGCTTGTGGTGACAGGAAACAGTCCTGCTCCTGATGGGCGACATTTTTCCAGCTTTGCTCGTCGAACAGTCAGCCACTAGGAGTGGAGCCGGGCCTGCAGCTTGGCGCTCGTGTTGCCCAGGCCAACTGGATGCTGCGCTCGGTTGCGACCCGAGATGTGAGATTCGCAGCCATCACGATCGTCCTTCACTCCCATCACAACTGTCTATACACTGTGGAAAGACAGTAGAGGAAACAAGACAGTCTGTGCGGGTCCTAATGCCCCAGTATAGTGACGGGGACACTGTACTGTAGAAAGGCGCAATCCTTCTGCTGAGATGTAAAACTGAGGTCCTGAGTCTCTGTGGTCATTAAAAATTCCAGGGTGTTTCTTGAAAAGAGTAGGTGTGTTACCCCCAATGTCCTGGCCAAATTTCCCATTGGTCTTTACCAGTCATGGCCTCCTAATAATCCCCATCTCTGGACTGGTGTCATCACTCTGTTCTCCTCCCCACTGATAGCAGGTGTGTGGTGAGGGTACTGGTCACGATGGCTGCTGTCGCATCATCCAGGTGGGGCTGCACACTGGTGGTGGTGGTGGAGGCGAGTCCCCATTACCTGTAAAGTGCTTTGAGTGAAGTGTCCAGAAAAGTGTTATGTCCGTGTAAGGAATTATTATTTATTACTGTTAAGAGGTGGTGATGTGTCCTGTCTTCTCCTCCGGCTGTGCTGCAGGGCTGGAGTTTGACCGCTGGCTGAAAGTGCCTGGCTGGCCACCCTACCTTCCCGACCTGTCGGCCGGTCAGAGCCTGATGAAGCCAGCGAAGAGTCTGGCAGCACTGTGGGCAGAGGAACAGCTGGATGTGGTAGCCATCGCTGCCATTGACCCGGTGCCCTGGAGGACCTACCAGACTGTCTACTTCCTGGATAAGGTCCTGGAGAAATCTCCACTGCCCACTGGTGAGGAACTGCACTTGTCATGCTCTTTCCACCAGCACAGATTCACCTTGTCATCCACTGAAACTGGAATTGGGAGTCCTTGAGGAGGGGGACATTCTCATCTCAAGTCTGGTCTTTCTCCGTTAAAGGCACTGGTGTGATATTACCGTTCACCACTAGATGGCAGACTTGAGCCACGTACTGCCAAAGGTGTTAAAATTATTTTGCACAACTAGAGATTTTTCCATTCACAAGGAAGGATGTCTTGCAACATACAGCACTAAAGAGAAGGCTAGTCAGTGTTTCACATACTTTTTCAAGAATTAACAATAGCTAAAGTTGTTTATTATTGTTAAATATTCAGACTCATTAGAAGGAGACATAGTATTGGTGCTTCGTTTGAAACTATTATTAACTTGTTTGTTCAGAAATTCTGCATAGTATTGTATTGTTATCATTAATCTTTTCAAAGTGGCATTAATGGGCCTAGTGAGTGTCTGACAGGAAATTGAGACTGCAGATTGGAGACTGTGGAGTCCTCTTCAGACTTGTTCCTCTACAGATGTATGTCTTGGCACCGTGCCTCTGAGGCCAGATATTTCCCGCTTAATCTTCAGTAATTCCAAGAAAACTGACAATGTTTTTGCAGTGAATGAAAGTGATCTGAAAGTGAGTGATGTTGTAATCACTTGAGTAAATAAACTGGTGAGTGATTGCCAGTTTTGTGTTCCTTGAGGACTGCAGAAGTTTCACATGGTATCTGAAGTGTCCTGTGAAGTCTAGTCCCATGGAGCTGACTAGTGCCAAGGGTTGGAGGTGTCCAGTTTAGACAAGGGGCAACAGTGTGGCTGTACAAATGGGATGTGGGATATGTGTTCATCTTACTGGCCCTGTGAGGGATTCTGGGAGCTGTAGTGTCCGGGACTTTTGCCTTGGTAGGTAGGTATAGATGTCAGAACAGTTGTTATTTGCAACTGCCAGATGATTGTCTCTTTCTTCTCTCCCCCCTTTCCTCTTGGATGCTCATGATCCAGTTCTCCATGTGTCTTCTGGGAGTTTGCAACTCCTGGAGGACGTCGGATACTGACCTCTCTGGCTTTCTTACTCTGTCTGTGGTCAGGTCACCTCGAGAGGTTTGCCCAGCAGTATCCGCACATCATGGGGTCCCACAATGCCGAGCTGCGCCTGCGCTGGGCCCAGATTGTCCTGAAGAACCAGTACGAGCCCGGCTTCCAGCACGTCAGGGCTTTCCTCAGCTGCCAGGTCAGGGGTCACGGCGACGCGCATTGATACTGAATCACTTCACAAACCGTGCAGGAGTCTCAGCTCCTGCAGTGATGCAGTTTCTCCTTCCGGGCCAAAGGAAGAGGCTGGTTTGAGTGGTCTGACTGATCAGGTTTAATAAGTACAGGGAATACCTGATCCAGTGGCACAACAGCAGAGCCCCACTGGGGGGCATACACTGCCAGTCTGAAGGAGCTGAACATTACGAGAACACTACAAGGGGACCTCATTCAAGTATTCAAAGTCCTCCAACACAGTGACAAAATCAGCCCAGTAGCCTTCTTTAGAATCAAAAGTGAAAAACAAATTAGGGGGCAGAGGTGGAAACTGTGACAGTGTGCTTAAAAGTGAGAACAGCAGGCACTTCCTGCAGAGCAAAGGGTTGTGGAAGTGTTAACAAGCTGCCCACCAAAGCCATTGAAGCCGATACTTCGGCTTCTTTCAAGAACCAGTAAGAATAGTAACTACCTAACGTAAAACACAAAATGCAGAGTAGGTTGAGGAGGCTCTGTATGTCCTGAAAGACGGCGCGTGAATGCAGTTGTAGAAAAGGAGCATGTTTTCCCCACCCTCTGGCTTAACGTTGCTGGAGCTGAAGGTGGTTCCAGCTCTTAGTCCTGCAGCTCTCTGGACACTCACAGGTACTGTCTTATTTCGTTGCTGTGAATTCTCCGGCTGTCTTGCAGGGAAAGCAGAAGTACACGCTGCCCTTGTATCGAGCCATGTGGAGCGGCTCGGAGAAGACCAGGGCCCTGGCCAAGGAGATCTTCTCTGCCACCTCCGAGCAGCTGCACTGCATAGTCCGCAGCTACATCCAGAAAATACTGGACAACCCAGCTCCTGTGTAAGGAGACCGTGTGGCGTTTAGCATGCCAGTGAGTGCTCTGTGCTTGCAATCATATCAAGGTTTTTAATTTTTTTTAATCGAGATCAATGATCCTACTTTTTCTGGAAATTTTGAGATAATTGAATGAATACATGGAAATGCAGAGGACACTGGGAAACCTGTTAAAAAAGTTTACTGTTGAAAAGAGACGATGTGGCAGTCTTGTTTTGAAAATTACTAGTTTTATTAGGTATCATGAAGAGTTGATGCCCTGTGTTTGGAGTGAAATATTTTAAGCATTTTAAAAGGAAACAAGTGAAAGAAATTAAGCAAAGCTACTCCAGCACAGATAGCCAAGTGAGAGCTTAGGGCAGTCTTAACATTACTTGTATTTATCTCAATTTTCTTCCAAGGTGAAGACACTGACAATGTTAATGAAAAAGATTCACATCTGTACTTACTCCTATCTCTCGATTTGTAGATCTGACACTTTAATAAAAGATGTAACCAAGCATTCCCCTTATCGTGCAGTAAGTGCATTTTAAAAAACAGGATCCCTGAATTAAAAATTGAGCAACAAGCTGGAGTGAAGATTACAAAACAAAAACTGAGTACCACAGCAGAAAGGAACATTTATTTAAGAAGTTTTTACACGAAAGATTGACAATATTATTTCCCATCATAAACAACATTTGTACATTGTAGTCAGGTCCGTAGACAAGCATTGCAGCGTCTGTCTGCTGTACCAGGAACACTAAAGACTGCAGCGATGTTGTATCTAGCACGTGCTTACTTTGTACAAATCGAGAATAACTGAATGGCTGAAGAGTACTGACTGTGCATGTGAAGTGTGCACATAACTCAGAACAGTCACTACACAGATACACACAGACAAACTGATTAAAGCCCAGTGGAGCTGTAGCAATAGTCACATTATTTGTACCACTTATTTGGTCAAGTTAAGTGCTACAAGTTTCAGTTTTTATTTTAAATTATTTTAAAATCAGATTGCAAGGACAACCATAACCCATGCCAACTGATCTACTGCAGCAGCTTCAGTTTCACTAATGGTGTGGGAATAGAGCATATCCATGTCTGCAACTTTAAAGCTCAACAGTATTAAATAAACTACCCCAGCTAAGCACAGGGGTTGTAAAACAAAAGAATTAGCATGGAAATAAACTGTAATATGACAGTAGTCAGGTGTTTTCAGGCCCCTGTCCATCTTATGTCCCCAGCACCACAATTAAGTAGGGTGACTTCTTAGGTCACTTCTCCTAAAATGGCCAGCATACCTATGAGAGCTGTCAAACCTTTGTCATTGATACCTATAGACAGCCTGCCCTGAGAGAGGAAGACTAAGATCAACTGACTTCTGGGCCTCAGTGTTCAAAACCCCAAGTGTTTTCAAACATCTTCAATGCTGTCTCTTGTTTGACAGTAATGAACTAAACAAAAAACTCCATTACTTAAAACAGAACACCAGTCAGCATCATGAATTAAACAATCTTTTCCAGTCTAAAGTGCTGCTTCCAGAAAAACTTATTGCAATCTGCAGGATGTAACTGAGGCTCAGGAAAAAGGCAAACTCCAGAGGTTTTTTGAAGGTTTTTTGAAGAGATGCAGCTATTGAGTATTTCTATGTTGCAGAACTATGGTTGGAGGATGCCAAAATCTATCATACAGCCCTGGTACTGTCATGGTTCAGGTCCTATAGACACTCAGGCTGCCAAATACACAGGAGCACCTCTTGCCATAGGGCAGGACTCTGTCTCATATTAATCAAGGCAAGGAGACATAAGTTAGAGTACATTACATATATATACTATTTATAGATTATATAAATATAAAATGTTCTCCCTAAATCATTCCCATAGTTTTCCAATTGACCCACAGGACATTCCTTTAGCAATGTTTTTGACTGGATTTTAAAACAGCACAACAGTTCATTCACATCTGTTTTTTTTGTTTTAATTAAAAAACAAATGCCCTCCTAAAAATCAAGACCAGTAGGAAGTGGGGTTTCTTTATGATCAACACGCCTATACTGGTCCTGGTGACCTGGCACTCAAAAAGGGCTCTGGCACTAAGAACAGAGATGAAGGTTGAGCATTACATTCCAGGTAAGGCTTTGTGATCTGCTCAGAAAGGCAACTTTATTCACCTCTAGCTCCTCTCCACAATACAGGTTTTGATCCTATCAGGACAAGAAACAACAGGCTTTAACTGAGGCAAGCAACATGCACCAAGCAGTTGTGGGCAGCTTTTATATACAGTTATAATACAGATTCAAACTGGATCGCAGCATAAGCTGTGAAAGAATCACAACACCTTACTTGTTCCTGGCTTGTGCCTTTAGTGCCCCACTCAGGTCTTTCCAGCTTGAGACTTACTCTATAAGATGTTTTCAAGAACATTCACTTAATCCTCATTCGCAAGCAAACCAGGTCTCACACCTTCGATCTGCTCTTGGAGGCAATGAAAAGCCAAATCCTTATCCATCTGAGCTACTGATCCTTACCTAGTAGAGGAACCTCTCTGCTCTCCTGCTTCTGGGAAGACCATAGAAAATGAGCCACTGGGGCTTGTGAAGCTTCTTTCTCATTATTTACTTTTGCAGAGCAGCAGTTATCAAGTAGGCCTGAGAGATCAGAAGCATCCCAACTGGGGTCTCACACATACACATACAACAATATAATAATCAGTTACGGTTTAGATCAGCAGTCTCTTAGTTGTGGTCAATGTGTTCTGCTGAGTGAGAAGCAGAAGGGTTTTTCTGCAGGGGAAGAATCACTTCCATCAGCCTTAGAAATCAGGATGGAGATGGACTAAATGTGCAAGACCAGTACTGAGAAGGGCAGGTGCTGTTGATGGTTCAGACAAAAAAAAAATCAGATAAAAATACAAAACTAATAAAGAATACATTTTCCTCTCTCCCAGGCCACAATGATGTGTCGAATATCAAAAATCTGTGTGTGCATGGTTTCCTGGGCTCTTCTCTATAGGTACTCCAGCATCCCAATGAGAGTTCATGAGGAAAGTAAAAGGCTTGGCAGGGCCAGGGCACCAGGCGTTCTTACTGGTACTGCCGATAGTCTCCAAAGGAGGGCGAGGGCATGGAGGAACCCTCTTCAGGAAACTGGGGACCTGCAGGGATAGCAGCAAACGTGCAGAAGATCAGAACACAGACATGTCTGTCCCAAATACGTTCCTTCACAGAGAAGGCTGCAACCTGCTGGTTTTCATTTCCTAAACCAATATTCTTAACTCTTCTTCGTTGCATACTCCCCTTATTCTGAATCACTGCATGAGCTAACCGCTTCACAGAGCCTTACAACCGTAGGAATGATGCGCCTTCTTCCGACAGCTCTCCAGGATAACAGGTGACCTGGGGTCACAAGTCCCAGGGGTCCCCACAAACCAAGGCCACCCTGGATTACCCAAACCCACCCATCTCCAGCTGAAGTGACTCAGACTGAAACCAGCAACATCTAGACTGGGAAGCTCAACATGCGTTTCAACTTAAGAGCCCTTGGTTTTAGTTCCAGATGAAGTCTGAATGACAAATATTTGGTCCGGTGGTGGATGAGAATATGGTTGCCAGGTTACGGAACAGACCACTTCACTATCCCAATAAAACCTGCAGGAGAGCTGCTCTTAGAATGTGCACAAGACCCCTCTGCCAACTAAAACAGATAAACAGATCAGGATAAGACACGATCAGAAGCACAGAGTGAGCACACAGGCCTTTCAACAGCAGGGACCTTTAAATGGACTTTGTATGTGCTCAGTCTTTGTTACATCAGTATATCCATCTTCTATCCTCTCCTTCAGAAAGGCTGTTATTTAATTGCTGTCTTTTTCCAACATTGTCAACATTCTGCCCCACTACATCTCCTACAGGATTCTAACCCCCTCTGTTTTTTGTGCTAATAATTGTTATGGTTTTTGCTGTTTAAAATGTTTTTTTCCAGCAAAGAGCTTTGAGAAGATGCTTTTAAAGCCACGATGTTAAAATAAAGTTTATGATAACTAGTTGAAGTACAATACATTAAAGTCTGGAAAACACTCAGTTTAATTATGTAAATCACTAATCCAAAAGAATTAAAATGGCTAAGATGCTTACACCTTCCTTAGGAACTCAGCAAAGTTCTAGAAAAACAGACAACATACTGAAAAGATTTTCTAGACAAAACTGTATTAGTCCGTCTTGGTATAAATGTAGCGTCTAAGCAGTAGTTCCCAAAATGCATCCTAGTAGTGCATGTCTGTCTTATAGAGCTGTCTTAGCAATATATTCTGTTCACTCCCTTATTAGCCAATTGCATTTCACTATGTCAAACACGTCCAACAGCTGCTCACCTCTTAAAAACGCAATTAGTTCACTTATTTCTCCAAGTAACAATGAGAACATCATGCAGAGCAATAATGTTCACCATTTAGAATCACGTTACAGCAGACTGTCTTCATTCAGATCACTTCAGTGACAACCTTTTACAATGAATACAGAACAGCAAAGTGGGCAGATACCTGAAGACAGGCACAAATACAAGCCATCAACAAAAACTACCAACTGTGGACATCGCAGAACCATAAACAGACTCAAGGCAAGCCTCACCCTCCACGTGCAAATAGAAATAATAAAACAAAAAGAAATGGGCACAAAAACCCCAAATACAACTAAAAACACACTGGAATAGCCTTTTGTTGGACGAGTGCCACTGCTTTTTTTGTGCTAATAATTGTTACCGTTTTTGTTGTTTAAAATGTTTTTTCCAGTAAAGAGTTTTAAGAAGATGCTTTTAAAGCCACAATATAAAAATAAAGTTTATGATAACTAGTAGAAGTACAAAACATTTAAGTCTGGAAAACACTCATCTTAATTATGTAAATCACTAATCCAAAATAATTAAAATGGCTAAAATGCTTACACCTTCCTTAGGAACTCAGCAAAGTTCTCATCCGTCCTTCAGATGAGATGTTAAACCGAGGTCCTGACTCTCAGTGGTCATTAAAAATCCCAGGGCGTTTCTTGAAAAGAGTAGGGGTGTAACCCTGGCGTCCTGGCCAAATTTCCCATGGCCTCCTAATAATCCCCATCTATGAATTGGCTTCATCACTCTGCTCTCCTCCCCACTGATAGCTGATGTCTAGTGAGCGTTCTGGCGCACTGTGGCTGCCGTCGCATCATCCAGGTGGGGCTGCGCACTGGTGGTGGTGGAGGGGAGTCCCCATTACCTGTAAAGCGCTTTGAGTGGAGTGTCCAGAGAAGCGCTATATAAGTGTAAGCAATTATTATTATTATCCATCACCACAAAGCACACTGGTGAAGCACTTGCGAACAACAGCTTAAAGCCACCTCTTTAACACAAACACCTGGAAACGAGGACAGCAGCAGAGATAATCCACAAGAGTTTACCCTATGGGCACTATCGCACATTTCAGCAAGAACAAGAATGTAGAAAAACATGACGCTGTAGACAAGACTGATAACACAAAGGTTCTCGAAGCTTCACACTCAGCAGTTAAAGAGTGGAAAGGAAAGGTGCCATTATCAAACACCACTTGATATCAATAATGACTTGGCCTTGATATCCGGAGTTCATTAGTAAAGGGACTCCTCAACAACGTTCATTTTTCACTCTACAACTGGGTGAGCACAGTGGCTCATCTTTCAGGTGCTTGATGGCCAGCGATCGTGGAATTACCCACATGGGCCAGCTGCACAGAAATTCACACCCATGGCTCAAAATCCATGAATGGGAGGCACTGCGGAGAACAGGAGCTCTGAAGGCCACTTGGGTGCACTGTACCTTTCACAGGAAACACAGCCCATGCTGCTACAACTTGCTGGAAGTGTCAACTTAAAGAAAGACAATGTTGGAAAAAGAATCAATTTGATCAAAGCATGTCTTCTACACCAACAAGTCAATCTGCTGCTCTACACAGAGGTTTGCTGGCTCTCCCTGGGAGAGCGTTTGACCAAGTTTTATGTACTACCCTATGAAGTCAATCGTGTTTCTCACAGATCAGCCCTTTCTTCTCTCGGTTTCTTCTCTGCACCGCCTAAACGAGTTGAAGCCTTTAAGGGCTGAGTGCAACAACTCTCAAAGTGCAGGACATAACTGAAGCCACGACTGAAAGGATGGACATCTGGGCTGGTGGGGAGGAGAAATACAGCACAGAGGTGTTTCCTAGCCTGCACGAATTCCTGGCAAATAAAAAGCTATAATTTCAGGGGTGACACTGGGCAACACCGTCACAAACCTGACAACAGTAAAATGAAAATTTTCCTAAATAGCTTTGCTTAAATTGGTTGATCGTTTTATCCAGTTTAGATATACAGCTAGGTATTTTAACTGAGAAATTTGGGTGAGGTATAAAAGTATAACAGCAGCAGTGTCTCACCTAGGATTTGAACCCATAACCTTCCAATTACAAATCAAGAATGCCAACCACTGCACCACTCTTTCTTTTTTTGCAACACCTTTCTCAACTTTTCCTCCAACGTCCAGATTATCTATTAACAAACGAGCAAGAGAGTCCCATAGAACAGAACCCTCAGGACTGAATTCCAGCAAAAGCACAGGTCAGAGATTCAGATGTCTGACAGGGCACTTAAGGTTTTAATGCACTGCGCCTTGAGATGCCTGAAAGTGGATTTCTGGCTTTCACCAGGACGAACCCATTCCCTCTGGTGCCCAATTCTATTATTGTATATTTAGAATTATACACACTTTTATGTTCCATGAAACTGGGTCATCCACCACACTAAAAGCAACATATATTCAATGCAATATTAAATACAATTGCAAAATTATTTACAGATTGTGTGGGAATTCAATGGCTTAAGATACAAAAAAAAGTGTCCACAAAGCGGGATGCAGTAAGTTGGGGGGTCTGTAAAGGCCCGGCAGACAAAATGTTTTGGAATCACCGGTTTAGACTTTTAAACTCGCTATAGATGGTCTTTAACAAATTATTTTAAATACTTTCACTCACTCAAACACTAGAGCATCAGTTATTAACTCCTCACGCACAGCAGAACACTTGGGGTGGAGCGGTGTCTCTGTGGCTAAGGATCTGCGCCTGTGACTGGAAGGCTGCCAGTTCAAACCCCGCAGCCGGCAGAGGAATCCTGAGCAAGGCCCTTAACCCTAACTGCTCCAGGGGCGCCATACAATGGCTGACCCTGTGCTCTGACCCCAAGCTTCTCTCCCTGTCTGTGTCTCATGGAGAGCAAGCTGGGGTATGCGAAAAGACGAATTCCTAATGCAAGAAATTGTATAGGGCTAATAAAGAAACATATACACATTACATTACTTGTTACAAAAGACCCATTTTGAATGAGCAGTCTACTCTGCTCTGGTCCACAAATACATCACAGTCGTACATCCCAGCCCCCATTCCTTTACTTTCTTTCTGGCTTCCCTTTCCCCATCTGTAAAATTCACGAAAAGGCACGTTACTGCATCGCTGTCATTCCTGTGCAGACCTCTAGCCTGCCTGCAGACACTCACCTGTGGGGAACTGCGAGGAAGCAAACCTCGTTAAGAGGATCCCGGCGCCCTCGATCAACGCCAGCAGAATGCCACCCATGGCCGCAGAGCCCACCATAGCCACGGGGCCGTCTGAGAACACAAACACAGGGACCTTAGTATCTCTGGAGGCAGGCAGGAGCCTGAACCAGTGCCTCAGAGCTCAGCGGTGTGAATCTCTCTCGTCGTGCCCGGGGGAGAACACGTCCGGATAGGCAAAAATCCCTAAACCCAGATGTGCAACGCAGCAGGCACCCCCAAGAAGACTCACAGCTGTCAGCTCTTCAGAAGGTGCTTTGACTTGGGTAGGGAATACTTCAGTAAAACAGATATGGCTTGCTTTTCATAAACGTGGGGCATACAAATATTTCTGCACTATCTCTCTTGTCCAGGAGAAAAAAAAATCAATTCAATGCATTCACAAACCGCTATCGTTTGGGGGGGAGTGAATGCTTTCTGAAGGGAGGAAAATGGGCAAGGATCAGTAGGAAGCCGGCACCCGTTACCCCACCCACGCCCATCGCTGAGGGGACAGCAGCTCTCGGGGGCGAAAGGAAAAAGGGGGGTACTCACTGCGCGCCGCCAGGATGGCCCCCGTCATGGCCCCGCTGGTGATGGAGTTCCAGGGGTCCTCCTTGCCCCGCATTTTCACCATGCTGCAGTCAATCATGGAGAACAGGCCCCCCCACACAGCGAAACTCCCTGTCCGACACAAGCACAGGCTACTGCAACACGCCTCAGCATGACACTCTGGTGACTTTCCCAAATGTCATCTGAAAACGTACCCCATTTCTTTCCATCTCAATTTATCTTGTCATGTATTATTTGAAACGTGGATTTATGACGTACTGTCACTTTTGATTGTTAACTGCCTTCTTTAATTGCAAGGGAAACGCATTGCTATTCCACCACATTACTTGTTGCGATTTTAATCTCTCCGCATTTAATTGTCAAGCACCTTGCCCTACAAGTTCGCATAAAAGTGGCTATATAAATAATATATTTGTCTCGGTCACAAAGGCTCGCTCGGTACAGCAGGCGAACAGTAGCGCACCGTGCATGTGGACCTGCGAACACTCACAATTTTATCTGACTCCCCCCTCCCCCACCCGTCTCCCACCCGCTCACCTCCCAGCTGGGGGGCTCTTGTCTTGATGGCCGTCACGCTGCCTCGCAACCTGTGACTCATTCCCTGGAGAAACACACAACAAGCCCAAGCAGGTCAGCCAAGCACAGCTACCGAAAGCGTCAAACACCTGTTTCAGCTGACGACACTGCAGTTACGTTGAAAAGGTCAAAAACACGAGTTTCCAACTAGTCTCATATACTGTAGACAGCGAGGGTCTAGAAGCAGGACAACATCAGGACATCTGAAAGACCAAGTGTCCATAATAAGCAACTGCAGTGAAAGCAGCAAGCTGACAAACTCAAGACACTGCGGAAACCCCAGCAGCACTAATGTGGAGAGGCACTCATAGCATCGCTGTGAGACTGGCGTAGGCAAACATCATAGGAGGAGTACTCTGGCAGTAGGACTGGGGCTCTGGAAAGACATGCAGAGGCACTTTGGACAGTAAAGCTGACAAGCAAAAAGCAGAATGTTTATTAAAGTGTCTGTATAGTCATCATCTAAAGCACAGACATTGTCTGTCAGAGAATTTGAATTCAGGACGCCAAAGTATTAAAATATAGAGGAAGTGAAAAAATAAACACAGTGAAGAATGACCATGATTGTTAAAGAGAGTGCAACTTGACATCTAAAACCGAAACCCCCAAACTGTCATGTATGTACGTTTCAGTCTTGGGATTAGCTTCTTGCTGCAGCTTTAAAGTAGCAAAGTACAGCCTTATATCTGGAAAGGAAGCTTCAATCATGCCCTCAGCTACTGGAGCTTTACTGCAGCTCAGTGAAAGCACTAGGGTGCAACAAACAAAGCACTAAGAGCAGATAGAGCTTCTTACACAGCACTAGAGAGCTAGAGGAAATTATTTAGATGCCGCTAGTAGGCAGAGCCTTTAATAAAGGACAGGAGCCTTCTCGCGTAAATAGACGTTTGCAGTTCTATATAAGAGATCAAGAAAACCGGGAAAGTACAAAGTGAGTCAAGACCTGCCAAATGCAAGTGACTGTTATAAATATCTGTTCAATTGAACACTGTGAAATCCTGCCACGGACAAAACACAACATGGGCATAAAAGGATTTCAGTCTCCTGTACTAAAATGACCAGAAAGAGTTTCCACACATGTGCTGATGTTCACGTCTTGCAAATGGAAGGGCCACATGAGGTCTGGTTCATGATAAGGCAGTGCTGAATGTGCCCCCCACTTCCCCCATTCTCTACAGTCCAGCACAAGGCTGGAAGCTTTCAGTAAGGACAGCAGACAGAGGAAAGGCTAGAAGGAAAGTCACACTCTTAGTTTAAATACACAGGGGGCAACAAAAGCACTGACAGGACAAGCAGAGCCAGGCTAGGTCAATGGTCCAAAAGAGATGGGCAAAGCAGGGAAATATTTTGAGAAAAACATCAGTTCCAGTGATCAATGCGATGTCGATATGGAGTAATTATAGCAATTTAAAAAATGTGAAATTTTAGAAACCTTAAAAACTGAATGAATTACTTTTTTATAGGTAACTACCCCCCAAAACTGCAAAGGACAGCAGAGTTGATGTATAGATTCTCTCTCCTGAGAACCACTTTTTTTTCTGGTTTTCATTCCATCACGATGGTGGAACTGAAGAAACGGAGATCCGCCCGGGTAATTTATTCAGCTTCCTGGTCTTAAGACGGGGCCCTCTCCAGTCCTGGTCTTCATTCTGACTGAGCTCTGCATGGACCTGAAATCAGCCTCATAATTCGCTTTTCGTTATGTCAGCTACAAAAAGCTGAACATTTCAAGTTACTTAAAACTAGTTAAGAGCTGAAGACAAGAGCTTTGAAAAGGACCTGATTATTTGTCCCATTAAATAAGTTCGGCTGGAATGAAAGAAGCAGGCTGGCCAGCAAGACAGGGCTGCGAGACTCCAGGCCCTGCGATAGAGGAGTAGTGTCCCAGTACTTACAGCAGGTGAATTTCTAAAGCCCTTGACTGCCTGGAATATTCCTCCTCCAATGGCTCCCATGGTGAAGGCACCCCCACAGTCATCCACGATCCTCCAGGGGCTGCAGAAATAAAGCCATCAATAACTTTCTAAGGACCTGACGGCACAATCGATTTGACATTTTCCTGCTCCACCGATCATGGAGAGAGAGAGAAGCAGTTCTGCCCCAGGATGTGTCCCACTGGCCCCTCTGCCTCAGCCTGCATTCTGAAGGTACTGAAATACAGAACCAGTGCACAGGAGCTGCAGTCTCCCTTCTGATGTGCACCCTTTAACAGATAAATATATCAAATAAGCAAGAAAAACTTAATACATCTGTCTAAGCCAAGAAAAACATTCTCAAACATACTTATACTCTGTACAAGACTCTGTCTTATACTCGATATATTTATACTCTGCTACTTTTCTCTGCTGTTAAGAACGCAAGCTTCTAAGAGCACTGAGCATAAAGGTGCAGGGAAGTGATGAGAGATTCCACCTGCAATACACCCTCCTTGCCAGCAGAGGCTGTTGATTACAGACCAAAAAAGAGTTACCTAACTCATCCATCAAATATCCAACTGTATTATACAACTCAGGGTTGCACGCACACACACACACCCTCACCTAGGGCCAGTTTTTCCCAGAAACGAATTAACCTACCAGTATGTTTTTAGACTGCAGGAGGAAACCAGAGCATCTGGAGAAAACCCATGCAAACACAGGGAGAACATACAAACTCCACACAGACAGCAACCCAGGTCCCGAATTAAACCCAGACCCCAGTGCAGTGAGGCAGCAATGCTGATCACTATGGCACCCTGCCGCCCGCTACCTCACCTTTTTCTCTTTAATTCGCGCAGATTAAACTAGTTCAAGTCACGTGGGAAAGTGAAGGAAACAAAACGCTGTGTACAATATCGCTAGACAAGGTTGAACTACCCTTGTGTTCTCATCAAGGCGTCAGATCACACAGCGCAACCGAGCACGCACCCTTGAACCGCACCCTGGCCTCTGGTGGAAGAGTTCAGGTTTCTCAACAGGGCTGCGCAGTCTTGAGTCTGGCAGACAAAGCACTTTAAATGAAGCCCTTTCCTCTCTACTATATTGTTAGAGAGCGGTGGGCCGCTCATACCCAATTCTGGATAGCACCCATCCAGCAGGTCTTACAAGTCATGTATTGTCTAAATACCCCTCCATTTTCTAACCACTCTGCCACTGCAGCGTCACAAGGGAGCTGGAGTATATCCTGGCATGCAATGGGTATACACTGGACAGTCCATCACAGAGCACACACACCAGCATATCTTTGGACTGTGGGAGCCAACCAGGAGCACCTGGAGGAAACCAGTTTAAATTTTCATCACTGAAAGAGAAGGTTTGCTCAATAATGTTTAGAGAGCATTTGAAATGAAAATCTTAACAGCCTGTAGGTCTCACGCACATCACACAGCCCGGCTGACTTCAGTACAGTCAATAACCATGCTGATCGAAACCCACACATTCCACGTCTTTACGCTCTGATGATTTAAGGATGACCCAGAAAACCTGCTTGGATGTCACTCCAGGACCAGGGCTGGTCACTGCTGTAATAACGACAAGCACCAGAGGCTGCAATGCAATCGCACGAGTGTATGCCTGTGACCCACACACCAGGCTCTCATAACGTATCACCGGCATGGGATCAGTATTACACAACACCGGTGCGTGATCAACAGCACTCTGCCACATCAAAGGAACACACAGCTGCAATCAACGACCCCACCATGCCTTCTGAACTCATTTTAAAGCGTCATTCTAGTCGATTCCAACAATGTGCTAAAGACACAGGCTTCCCTCACTGGTTACGTCACCAGGAGGCAGGAAACACAAGGAAAATTGTCTCGTCTTGTAATATGAACTAAGAATTCAGGTCAAAAGAGACTACCGTGGATACAGTCTTACATTCTATTGAGCCCACAAAGAATATACACAGGAATCGCGACTTCTGTAAAACAAAAATCGGTTACACAAGGTCACCCGGTTCGGTCTGTGATGCCAAGGACACCGACCGGCTCTGCAGAGAAAAAGTGTGTGACACACCGGCCACTGCAGCGTAAGCGACCCTTCCTCACAGCGCCGAAGAAAAATTCCCATATGTTAGCGGGGTTTTAAGCTCTCGTTGTGTCAAACAATCACCATTTGTAATGTCACACTATACTAAAAATAATGACTTACCATGGTTCACGTGCGTACTCCTCCATCTTCTTCTCGGGGTCTCGCTCGGCGGAAAAAGTAGGGCGGAGTCCTGACGTCACAGGAAGTGTAAGCTCTCAGAAACTGGCGCGACTTAAAGGGCTAGTCCTTCTCTTACTGTGTGTAAATGTAAAGTTAATTTTCGCCATGCGTAACTGGTAGGACTGATAGGAGCATTGCAATGCCCTGGGTTCAATTCCGGACCTGATTTAAGTTGCATGTCTGTGGACTATGGGTGGAAATCAGAGGAAAACCTGTGTGGCTATGGGTGGCTAATCTCCGCAGAGAAGGTGTCCAAGCCGGAACTGAATTGAGTTGTGGCAACAGGACTAAAGGCCACTGTGCCGACCACTCAGCGCCTAGTAGTGGACAACGTCAACTTAAAGTGTCACTGCTACTATTTTGATTTTCAATTTAAAGTTACAGTCTGTGTAAACAAAATACTTTTTTTTTGTTTTTTTACCTTAAAACTCTGAAAGCATCAATTATTAAGCCGCTTGCCTTTCTGCACCAGTTCCATTTCATTGTAGGATTATTGCAGGACCGTTTCTTAATTATGTTGGTTGTTAATTACTTAATTGATACTGCTGACCGAGACCACAAAACATGTTCAAGACTGGTTCAGGAAAAAAGGATCTGTATTCAAAACAACGTCAGACGTCATTCAGACTACATCGTTCTGAACTGTTACATAGGAAACAAGGCAAGGGTGTCATTTGCTACAGATGATAAGGCACAGGTCCCTCATTGGACCTGAGGGACATTCCTGTACAAGAATGTGTCACCTCTGTACCCTTCATACCCACCCCCAGTCCTCTGCTGCTCTGGTAGCAGGTGAATCCTCCCATCATCAACGAAGAGGGAAAGCTGGGAATGAGAAAGTCCCATTCCAGGTCCTTGATTTCTTTGGAAAGGATTTGTAAGGAAAAGTCTCCTCACTTCCTCCCTCTCGTTCCTTCCTCAAGCCTCCAGCATGGGACTTTATCTGCAAAGGATTGTGGGAGTCTGGATCAAGACCTAAACAGGGGTACCTGACGTGTTTGGGCCAAGTTATCGAAGCTGATGTCCTGGTGTCCTTCAGAGAATGACTGAATGAGGCTCTCAGATCTATTAGCCATTACTAACTGGACACATTCCATGAGCTGAATGGGCATCGCTGGTTTCTAACCCTTTCTTACAGTGGTTATGTGACTTCATAAATATGTGTGGAATTTGTGTGACTGATTTGTTATTTCACAAAGGCTATCAGGAATATGAATCCCACAGGATTGTGAGAGCCTAAGACAGAAAAACAAACCAAGCCCTGTATCCTGAATTCCTCAGACATGAAAGACTTGAAATGGAATCCTAGATTTACACCATATCTTGGTCATTTGTTCCTCACTCCTACCTCCCTTTGCGTATAGAAGCATTTTTATTCTTTCTCAGTCTTGTGTCTATTTCTCCTTGGTTTCCACTTTGTTCTGCCAGATTCTATGCCTTGTACACAAAACTGGTTCACTAAAATTCTCTGATGACAAAAATGCATCCCTTTCACGTGTGAGACGAAGGAGGTTTCTCCGTCAGACCCAAGCAGTTAAAAATTGGATCTGTCTCAGACGTTCACCTAGACGGTCGTCTGTTCACAGACGTTCGAACAAGCATGACCAAATCTACGTGTATGAGCTTTGTCCAGAGATGCTACGTAGTCTGAAGTGGGATAATAATGAGACTAAACACTCAGACAAGAAACGGACAAGGACTTTGGGACTGATGGTAAATAAATATTTATGTTAGTTTTGTGATAGAAGGAAATATTTACATAAGCTGTTTTTTTTTTTTACTCTATGTCTGAGCGGAGAGCTTTTAAAGAGCGTCAGACAAGCTCTTGGCCTTTCTCCCACTCTTAGGAATGGTAATGGAATGAGCCTCAGACTGTTTCCATTGAAAAATGACCAAATATAGGCATTTCATTGGTGCTGGGGGCTGTGAGTTTGTGTATGCGTTTGTGGTGGACAGGCTGGGAGGCAACTGAAACAAAACTGCCGAGCTTTCATTCAGTACATCTCTCAATCATTGCTGGGGAAGAATCTACTCCTGGAAGAACATGGATAGAGTCTCAGAGAGAGGGATGGAGTTTTCTTTTGTGCCAGAGTACTCTGGATGCTGTCCTGTGATTTCCCAACTTGTTCTGGCATGATGAGGGAAGTCCACAGCTTTGAGGGACACTGTTGGATAACAAGAAGCGGAGGAACAATCTCAAACCTATTGTGTTACCTCTGCCACCAGCCTGATGAGATGTCAGCGACGGCCTCTTTATGTATGTTTAGGAAGTAAAACCTTAATATGCTTGTTGTGGAGAAGTGTCTCAGACTCACCTCCTGGAGGGCCTGTTGTCTTCGGGTTCTTGTTCCAACCTGAGCAGTCAGACTATTGACCTTCTTATTTTCTAAATTAGACACAGACAGGATTTTCTCTTGAGGTCTTTTACAGTTCATTGCACAAGGCACTCAATTAAAGGTGCCGCTGCCTATTAATCACCTGGTTGGAGTGTTACAATTATACAGTCAATTATGTAGTTTGACCAACTATGTATTGTATGTTGGCAACAAAACCACAAGACACAGGGCCCCCAAGGAACTGCGACTGAGAGCCCCGTGCTTGAGCTTCCCTTCTGTTCGTTCGTAATCAGTCTGAAAAGGAGAAGGAGCTTAGCAATGAGAAACCTAAGCACAGTATGTGAAAATATGTTACAGAAACTACCTCAAAGTACCACAGAAAATCAGAGAGATACAGTGGAATAGACATGAAACATATTTCACAGAAAACGTAACTCGTGTAACCTACTTACTGTGACTGATTTTTTTTTAAGGTGTGTTTTATTCTGGTTGTCACTTTTGAGAAATATTCACGCTAATCATTTATCCATCGGTCCATGGCCTTAAAGGCCTCTCATACTGTATCACAAACTGTAAAACATGTTTGTTGGCATTTATCACAATAAAAGAGTTTTAGGGCTTAATAAAGCCACCTGATGACTACAAGGTAGATGAGTCATTGTTTTCCAGAAAGTTACTTTTAATTCACATCTAGTCTAGTAAAAGTGTGAGCCTGATTTGAGTAAGGAAATTTGTTCTGGCTCCATGCCTACCTTAAAACAATCAACCCTGATATTTAGATATCTCATCACTGTAGCATTGTAGTGGGACTAAATACATGATGTTCAAAGGCTGTAAGTTATAACTCTCAGTTTTATTGTGATCAAAAGTTGTACTGTTTACGTACAATTTTAAAACACATTGCTCTCAAAAGGTGCATACAATTGCCTTCTGTACTATTCCTTGCACTTAAGGCACTGTAACCTGAAATACTGTAAGACAATTTCTTTAGATGTCAAGTGCAGTATATTTACATGATAGTAAACATTGGTATTATTAATATTGTAGTACTGTCAGTTTTCCCTTTACATCAACATACAGGTATAGTGTTTTTACACACTCTTAAGTACAGACACTTACCGTTAATCTAGTCAGCTCATATTAAAATTAGCATTTCCAATATAACGTCGTAAAAGAGTTTATGGGCCATACGCTTTCAAACATACATATTTACGATACACAGGAGACACATTATAACATGAGCAACGTTTTAGAAAGTTACCGTAATTGGGTGTATATCACGATAAAACGTATTAGTAACGTATCTGAACGTAACTACAGTTTTATTTTTCACTTTAAATCCATATGATGCGTTTAACAGTTGAACATCTGGAAGCTGTAGAAAAATAAATATTTACAAAGCTGTGTGAACATCATTCTTCTCAAAAACTCTTCGATACATACGAGAACTTAAGACCTGTAAAACTCTTTCATTGAACTACACATCGCCTAATTTATCATTTCAAGAATTATCTTCTCCTTTGTAAAGGTATGGACGACTCTTTTTTTCCTCTTATAAAAAACGCCTTGGGTGCGTTTGAGAACTTTATCCCCAGGCTTCCATTTAGCTAAGGCATGACATAATGTCCTTCTGTTCAATCGTATGGTCTTCTACGTAAATAGAGCGACATTAGCTGTTGGAACTTGTTTTTTTAGCTGTTGGAACTTGATCGGTGACCCAAGACACGTCATCTTACGTCACTATCGAGGGAAAAGTCGTCAGAATTTTGAAGATGGAGAATGAATTGTTACGGAAAGTAGTATAATAATTTAAATATTCAAGACGTATAGGCATGTATAAAACGTATGCTATGGTTGAATGTTTTCCTTTAGAAAACATACAATAACGTACATGTACAGTATCTGCTTACATATATGCGAACAATGTAATATCTAACTTAATGGTTTCCTTCCTAATTCTGAGCAACGCAAAATAGGCCAGTTAATTATTAAGTGGCTTTTTCTCGTGCTGAAAGCACAGAATCCTTTCGAATATCCACTTGACTGGTTACAATTTGATGTTAATTTTCGTCCCTTTATTTCGGTTTTATCACAAGCGTTTTAAATTAAAAATGCCGCTGTTTATCATTTTTAAACACAAAAAACAAAGCTACATGATTCTGCAAAGACATGTTATTCATGCATTTAACTTTAGAATATTAAACAGAATGTGATTTTTTTTAATTGCAGGTTCTGAACCTTAGTTGAAAAAAAGCCTAACGGAAAACATATTCATTCTCACCCAGCAACCAGCTTGTCGTCATATGTTTGTTAGAACTATCATTTGTAATATTTCGCAGAAAAGTTCGGAAATAATCTCGAGAAAGGGAAAAGGTGAGTGAACTACTTGTCTGGACCTACGATCTTAAAGCTGTGTAAAAGCTCGGCTGGCTCCGACTCCGACTCATTAGACAGGGATTTCAATGACATGGCCCAGAAAGTGCGTCTCTTCACGGTTTTGTTGTGTTGTACTGGAAGCTCTCCATACTGTTCTCAAAGGAGAGGTCAACAAAGAGGCTTTTTAGTATAGCCCTTAACAGTGGAGAGGATTTGCAATAAAGACTAGGAAAACTAGCAGTCGCAAACATGGCAACCCTGCACCCTTGACAGTCCAAGGCCAAGCCAGGAGGGGTAGGCGTGCAGTGACGTCACGTGAGGGAAGTGCAGCTCACGCGATAGGTGCCGGCTCTAATGCCAGTTAATTGCTGCTTGTCAAAGATGATTGGGCAAGCTGACAGGTGAGCGTGATCGAGGAGCCTACAAGCACAGCCATAGGAAAAGACGAAAGTCGAAAAGACAAGTCTTTAAACAATTTTGCCTGGCCAAATTGGGACGGTATATAATAAAAAAGGTAAATTAATTCAATCCATCTGAGCTCCCGCTAACGTAATCGACCCCTTAATTGAATAAATAATATGATAGTACTTAGCCCGTACTTAAATTGACCTATTCATGTTAAAGTTAACTTGAACTCTCAGGTTTAACAGCATATTACTGTAACACATACGAGTGGGCTTGCCAGCGCGGTGAAGTCACCGGCGGTGGACCTGAGGCGACAGCGGCACATACCCACGTGAACCTGAAAGCGATACAATATTATTACATATTTCAAACCGCTTAATTAGGTCAATTACGGCGTAGCTAAATGAATTAAAAGAATGAAAGTAGAATGAGGGACTGAGACCATCAGGCCAGCGGACCCTTGGGGTACAACAGAGATTCACACGGGACAAGCATTTCAGAACCTGCAAAAGGCACAGGAAATTCTGCAAAAATAGAGGTACTGTGATATTTTATGCAATTATCGTAGCCTTTTCATAACCTTCAAGCTTTAAATATCTGAAAAGACAAACTGCATTCAAACCCACCAGAGGTTATGATTATAAAGAACAGAGTTAAATGTTAAGGACACAATTGTGTTTGACAGTTATTACAGACTGCAGAGAGGGATCACCTGCAGCACATTGGTTAGATTATCTAATGCCATATGTGGACACAGTCATCCTGTTGAATAGTTGCACACAAAGGGGTCATTTATATCATGTTACTCAACCACTGTGTGCACCAGGGGCGCTGTATATAGAAATGTAAGAGCTCAGTCATTGTGCATTGCAGTCCCAGACAAACAGAGCTGATGCCATTCATCCCACAGTGATTATTCATCCCTCATCCCCTCACCAGATTTACAAGAAAGTAGCTGCCAGAAATAGACAAGCAAAAGGTTGTTTCTGTCACATTATTCCCAGTGTGAAACATACCTGTCACCCGCAGCTTCAATAGACTCAATCATTCAATCTGTAAATTCAAAAAGACTTATAGAAAACACTTTGAATACAGAAACTGCAACCCTTGTTTCTAGGGAGCTGGTTCAGAACGTGCATCAGTGAGGGCCGTTCTGTATTCTGTCATTTGCTGTTCGGTTCAAGAACCTCTTCCAGCTTTTTATTGGAGCATAGAAGCGATTTTAGTTTTGCTGTTGCACTCAGCTGCAACCCTTGATGTAAAGAACCCCATCCTATTCCTATAGCAGGCTGTTTTCATGTTTTCTTCATGAAAGAAATTATTCAAAATAAATTAAATCATTCAAAAGGAGTGATTGACTCACTGCATCCTATTTGGAAAGATCTACCTTCCTAGGTAGCTATTAAGAGGTGGGCATCCTAAATTTCTTGCACAACTAAAAATAAGTGTCCTTTTAGATGTTGTATACTCTAACACCTCCCTGTCACTTAGTAATATTAGACCTAAAAGACCTATACTGTCACTTAGTGGGGATAACAGTGTCAGACAACAGCAGATCACCCATGCCAGAACTTTGTGAAAGATCTGGGGCCAAACTCCTGACAGAATCTTCCAAACATCCTGCCAGTCTCCTCCCGGAATCCCACAGGAAAGATCTTGTGGATTTCCATTCATAGGAAAAAATGAAGAAATCCTACATGAGTCTGGTATCTAAAATCTGATAGGATTTCTGCTTCTGTTCATTTGCGGCCATCTTTTCTGCCCATGTATGTGAGCTACCAGTTGGGTGAAAGCTGGATCTAAGTTTAGATCTGAATGTTACTGTTCTACTGTTAGGTCAAGATCACAGACTGGACTGGCTGAACTGAACCATGGTTGTTGGGTCACGTCAGATCACGTGAATCCATGCTTCTACAAGGAATGACAGCACAGTCTGCGGGGCGGCTGCAGTGTTTTTGACAGCACTGGTCCACCACAAGCCCAACTGGATCAGGTAACAAGAAGAAAGGCATATTGCCTGCAACATCACTGTCTAATATGTCTGAATCTAAAAATACGCCAGTGAAAACATGCTTAAAAAATCAGGGATAGAGGTAAAAAAAAATCAAACCTGCTGAATCTCCAGGCAATCTACACACGATTAAAATCCCAATGAGTGGCCAGGTAATCTACACTTGAATAAAAGGCCATACAAACAGCATTGCTCACACACTCTTCCAACATACTATAACCTTCCAACTCCAGTGCAAATCAACATAGCCTCACAGACACAGCCAAGCTTGGAGCGTTTTTCTCAGGAGCCCTACACACCACTGCCCCACCTGCGCCCTCTGTTGTCCAGTGTGTGCCAAGACAGGGAGGACCCAGGGACAGCGCCGCAGCAGGTACAGCCCGGATCAATCGTCGCTGTCCGCCTGCCCCCCGTCAGTACTGCCGGTGATCACTCGGGCGGCTTCAGAGTTCGGAGTTCCCACGAGGCCTGTGAGCTGTCCATCTGCCCCCCAACCCCCAGCCCCCTCCCACCCCACCCCCTCCCCCAGCGCTCCTCCATGCTCCAGGTTAGTTTTATCTCAGCAGCTTCGGCACCTCGACCTGCAGGCGGGAAAGGAGAAATCACGTGTCTGGGACATTGCTCAGTACTGGTCGTTCATTCTTCATGTAAAGTTGGAGAAAAATGAGTGTGAAACTCCTGTCTGCAATGTCAGCTGCTGTTGTTAGACAGACATCTGTCTCTCTGGTTTACCAGAACGGTTACATAAGGAAGCAGATATCCCTGTGCTGCAGAGAACAAGTCGCAGTCGGCTTTTTGCCCTTGCTGAGATTATACATCTGCTGAAAGCACTTTTAAAGTGAAATTTAGGGAGCTGACTGTCAACGTGTCAGTTGTCTGGCTCCTGTGAATGATATTAGAAGGGAGCTGTGATGGCACATTTATGTTCAAGGATCTGAAAAAAATATATATTTTGTTCATCTTGGTTTCTTTATCTTTTTAAATATGTCATTTTCTTTGGCCATATTTTCACACACCACAGTGTTACTAATTATCAAATGATGAGAAAAAGCAGTTTCTGCACAGATGGCTCTTAAAATGTCTCATTGAAATGAGCACAAATCCTTTTTAATTAATAAAAACGTCTGCGTGGCTGGAAAAGTCAGAGTGCCCGTTAAGGGGAAGATATATTAAACTTATTTTCTACATAATTTTTAAAAATGGTCTAATTAATTACTTATGGAATGAAACATTATTACCACCAATTAATGACCAATTAACGATTTAACCAGGGGATAAGACAAGATGATCTTTCACATGGGAAAGCACACATCTGACAGCATGCCTTCAGACTGCACTTGGCTGTTTTTTACAGCTCACCCCACGATGGCATGTTAAAGAGAATGAGGAAATATCGGCAGACTCCTCCAACCCGCCCACTTTCGAGCCAAACATCACAAGATGAGTCACAGGAAGCACAGCCCCCACACCAGAGGTTCAGTGTTGATTGGAGGACAGGTGCGTCCATCATCAACAGGCTTGGGCTACATGGGTCACTGTGTTACCGAGAGCAGAGAGAGCTCTGCTTGACTGATTGTACCCGACTCTCAGTGCCTGCCTATTTCTTGGTGAATCCCACTGACAGTCCAGTCCAGCAGGCTTTGTGAGTAATTTATACTGTAATCCTCAATGAGCACAGGTATGGAAATAATGATAATAAAGACTAAGTTAGTAAACAATTGACTCAAATGAAGTTATTAGAAAACCTGAAGACAGAGAGACGGGGACCGGGAGAGAGTATCAGTGGGCTATACTCTAAAACGCTGTTCCCTCTCCATTTGGTTTAAATGTCTGTGTTTAAGAGGTCATTTACTGGCACACCTGACTAGTACTATCAGAAAGGCAATCACACATCTGTACTTAACATGCACAAATGTCTGTGCAGGGTACCAATACATTTTCGGATACATTTTTCCCCCCTTGTCTTTCAGTTTTGGCTCTGTTTGATAATTATTTATTTATAGCAGGGTAGCGGTTTGGACAAAGTCTGTTTTGCTCAGGGGCATAGTGGCAGAGCCCCCACCTGGGATGTGAACCTGCAACCCCCTGGTCAGGATTTCCCGGCTGCTCTAAACCCCTGAGATCTCTCTGTCCCCGGGTGTGAGGGTGTAGGGGCTTCTGCCCGGCTCTACCTTCTTGAGCTGTTTGATGTTGCTGTTGCGGATGGAATCCAGCAGCTGGTCCCGGGTGTTCTTGTCGCGGGGTGGGGTGCTGCCCCTGTCGTCCAGCTTCCTCTGCGAGACGGGCGTCAGGGAGTTCCGGAGGGCCTCGCCGTCCAGGGCGGGCGCGGGGGGCGGCGGAGGCGGAGGGGGAGGAGGTCCGGCCGCCCCCGCTTTTCTGGGTGACACTTTGGGGGACGACCAAGGGGAAGACTGCGGGGAGGGCTTGGGGGAGGGCTTGGGGGAGCCCTTTAGAAGGCCCCCTCCGACTTTGGGGACCTCCAAGGAGCCCTTTTTGTCCCCGTCCCCCAGGGCCTGCTTCTGTTCCTGGAGGCGCCGCTGCCTCTGCTTGTCCATGTTTCGGCTCAGGATGTTGGTCATGGTCATGCGGGGCCCCGCCAGCTCGAAGTGGTAGCCCAGTTTCAGCAGGGTGGTGTTCTCCTTCAGGATCTTGGCCATCTCCATCTCCGTCTTGCCGCCGCAGATGTGCCGCTGGTTGTGGAAGCGCAGCTCGGTGAGGGTGGTGTTGTTCTGGAGCGCACGGACCAGCGCCATGATGCCCTTGCCAGTGAGGTGGTTGGAGTCCAGGTTGATGCTGGTCAGGGTCCTGTTGGAGCGCAGGGTGTTGGCGATGGCGAAGGCCACGTGGTCGTCGGCGCGGGTGTTGGCCAGAGCGAAGACCCTTACGTGGGTGTTGTCCCCCAGCGCGTCGGCGAAGCGGATGAGGGTGTCGTTGTTGATGACGTCCGAGTTGTTGATGTTGAGCTCGGTCAGCTCGGGGTCATTGTTCTGCACCTTCTCCAGGGGCTCGTCGAATATGCTGGGGGTGGCGTCGTCCTCCTGCTCCTCCCCTGTCGCGTTGCTTCCAGGACTCTCTCCCGCTGTGCCGGATTCCGGCTCTTCGTTCTTGAGTGGCTCCCTGGGCTTCTTCTCATTCTCTTGAGAGGCCTTCCCCTCCCTGGACACCTGTTCAGGCTGAGATCCGGTCTTGACGTTCACGCTACACCTATCCTCACCCTTGGGCTTCTTGTCCTGCTTCCTGCTGTCCGGCGTGTCTCCACGTTTCTCCCCTTGGTCTGACTTGCCTATCCTGTCTGGACAGTCCGGGCCTTCTCTCTTGCCCTCCTTGGTCTGGCTGTCCCTCTCCTCTCTCCTGCACGCTCCTGTCTTGGGTTCCTCTCTCTTGGTTTTCCCTGGAGTGCTGGGCCCATGGTCTTTCTTGCGCTCCATGCCCTGGCAGTTCTTCTCCTCCCTCCTGTTCTCCTGTTCCTTGCGGGCGGCGGCCCCTCTCTTGCGTGGGGTGTCCTCGCAGGGGCTGCCCACTTCCTTTCCAGCCTTCTCCACACTCTCCTTGCTGTTGGACCTGGAACAGCGTTTCTCCTGGCTGAGGCCCATCCTCCGCAGGTACTCCTGCTTCCTGCTCTCTTTCTTGGGCTCCCCCTCTTGTGGCTTCTCCTTCTCCCCCACCTTGAGGTCTTTGGTCGTGTCCAACGGGACTCCCTCCTAGACAGGGACACAGAAGGACAGATTTAATTTGCATGCGGACCGGCACAATCACAGGATGGACTTTAGCTTAGCTGAAAGACCTGCAATCTTTGTTGCCACTCTAAAGGACAAATTGTCATCTATTAAACTTTGAAAAATATTGGGAAATAAGTGCCAGGGAATAACACTGTTCCAAATAAAGGCTGCCTCAAGAATTTGTGTTCCTACTCTGTATTACAAGCTAACAAATGAAGTGTGTACCATAATTCACTTTTGCGATTTAAAAAACTGTCGGGAAAGGTTTCTCTTGGCGGACAGAGAGGACGGAGAGGAAGAATATCACCAGCGCGCGCCACCTCAACAATCAGCAATATATAATGGACATTCAGAACCTCCTGCAACATTGTTTCTCTTCTCATCATCTCCGATTTGGCACTCAAGAGTGTTTCTTTAGAAAAAGAAATTCTCAAAAATATCCATTACAATAGCAAGGATATTTGCTAGAAGCAAAGATAAGAATTATATATAACCCATGTTCATTGCTGACTGGTGGGGCACATGAAATATTAAAAAAGTTGTTTTTCATAAAATGCAAGTTATTCAAATTAAAAAGATGCTAAAATACAAATGCCATATCTTAAACAGATAAGGACACCAAGACATAGATAACACTAGATAAAGGGGTCACACATTAGAAAGTTATTTTAAAGACCACGGCTTGTCATTTAAAGATCTAAATTGATACGTATGAAAATTCTGTTTTGGATTATAAGCAGCAGACTAGTAAAAATTTTTGGGCCATAAACATCAATTTTATGGTGCAGTATTAAGCTTTTGATGTGACAGACATAAGAACAAATATTTAAAATCTTTGTTTAGAAAAGAGCCCTGAGTCAAGAGAAGAAATACAACATGACAAGCAAGAGTACACTGATATTTTCACATTATCAAGCTCTCAATATAGAAATTCTAACCAAACATTTATTCATGTCAAACGACTCATCTCCGTTCTTTGTGTATAGAGCCAGGTCAAAGGATAAAAATCTCTGATTCGTCAAAGCCACCTCTCGCTGACCCGCCTCCATACGGCTTATTAGCACTGACATCGGCAGCTAGGCGTTTTTTATTTTTTAATCACATGGAATCGTGGAAATGCACAAGGCATGAGGTCAGATTTGCCCTATTTACATTGTAAGCGGCAAGCCATTTTCAGAAGGTTTACTGGGGAGGATAGCTCCGCCAGCGCAGTCCGAGATTTGTGAGCTTCTGCGTTTGCTGCCGTGAGGAACTGCAGTTCCCTCAGATGTGTCCTTAAAAGGCAGTGTGCATGTAAACCAGCAGCCCAGGAATTTCATCTGCCCAGGATCTCCAGCTCCAGAAAACCAGCCCTGACTTCCACACTGCTTCTTTCTGTGCCTATCCTGGAAAAATGGGGGCATTTTAAGACCCCCTTTAAAACACAATTCTAGTGAAAATGCATAGGACTTGAATGCATATCGCAGCATAGCAATGCAGTAATAATTTTGGCAGGTTTTTCCAGACACTGTGTTTAAATTCAAATAATAGGACGGTTTCTAAGGAGGGGCATTTATCCCCAGCAAACTCTCATCTATGCTGTGTTGGGGTGTTGATTACACTACACTCATAATTCCTTGTGTAAAATAAATTGTATCCGCAGTTCTCAGTGGCTAATGGGTGTCCTCAGGGTCCAGGTTTGACATTTGCGTCTGGAAGGTCTTAATCCTCATTTGAGAGCTGTGTCCAGGTCTGATCATTAAAAAAAGCCAGCTATTCCGCAGGTATGACTCGATTGGCACCACAGTGTTGTCAGCTCATGTGTCCCGGCTGAAACATGCTTCCAGCGGCCTTTGTTGAACGTAAAGATCCCGCTGCCTAGCAACATCGAGCAGCGCTGGACCCCAGTGAGTGGCTGACATTTCACCGGTCTGATCAAGACTGAAACACTTCGCTTTCCTCTTCCCCTGGGCGTTGTGCAAACAAACAGCAACAGTGGTTTCATCGGCCTTTGCTACACAGGTGGCTTGTTTCCAACACTTCTGAGCAACAAGCCCCACGGTTTTGGTACAGGATAGTTTCCTTAAAGGATCAGCTGAGGACAAAAGTACTTCAGACTTGGAATGGCGGTACACCGCGCTGTACGTGGTTCACTTGCACTCCTGTTGTGCAGGCAACACTAGCAAAACAGAACTTCTGAGAAGACTTGTTAAAGGTCAAGAAGACAGCTCCCGATGCTTCAACTATAGGCCACAGGGCATTGTGCTACACATACACTTTCTTGCGATCTGCTCTTCATAAGGTTATTTTGGGACAAGTGATTCAGAAAACTGCCACAGACCATCACACATGTACTAGGCTTTGAGCAGATCCTGCATTCGATCAGGCCTCAGCCACCCTGGGTAGCCTCACTGCTCTCCAGACACAAACAGGCGCTCTGGTTGTTTCTACAGCGTCCTGACGGTGTCCTGTTCTAAAGGAGAAGAAAAGAGAAAGCTATGTTTCATAGGAGTTCCACTACGCTGATGAGCTTTCTCAGGGATGAAAACCATTATACAAATGCAATTGTTTTTATTACACTTTTTATTAAGAGTTGTGAAATATCTCCCTTGCTCTGGCAAGCTCAACGCATAACCTAAATGAATTTAAATAGCAGATCCACAACTGTCCTTGTTGTGGATCTCTGCGGGTTCTTTTCTCACAATGGGTGGAGATCACTGCTCTCCCCTGGGAGGCAGATCCCTCCCTGGGGGGGATGTTCATGGAGACATGCAGGGCGACAGTTCCATCTACCCATTTTGTCAATGCCGAAGCCTCTCCCAGCAAGCAACAGGCGCAAGGCAGGGTACACCCTGGACGTTACGCCAGTCCATTGCAGGGCATGCGCAGATATAAATACACACACACACTCACACCAGGGCCAATTTTCCCAATTAACCTACCAGTATGTGTTTGGACTGTGGGAGAAATCCAGAGCACCCAGAGGAAACCCATGGAAATATTATAGCATACAAACTCCACACAAATAGCACCCCAGGATTTGAACTCAGGCCCAAGCGCTGTGAGCCAACCATATCACCCCAAACTATAGTCAAGGTGTCTAAATAATTAAGGGCCTTGGAGCCTTTTTGGTAACTTCATGCTACAATATGCACTTCAAATCAGCACTCCCGCTCAAGAAAAATGATTGAGCAAGATTCTTGGTCTATTTTGGTCTCATTAATTCTAACAGCTCTAACAGTATTAATTGAGCATGTAAGTCAGTAGTTCTACTTTTAGCATTTTATTATGAATAGTATTCATCAATAGTATGTGCTTTTATGGGTATTCAAACAATGGGCTTAAACAAGTCCTGCAGATGAAATAGAGTGAGGGCACAATGCAGTATAGAAGTGACACAGTCTCACAGACACTTAACCACGCACAGACCTAGGAGACACTGGTGGAGGCTTATACAGAATGCCCAAGAAGAAGCAAACACAGGAGTGGGATGAGGCAGGCCAGAGAGGTGGGTAATCGTTTAAATAATGCCATTTTCTACTTTCCATCCTGAACTGACGTTCTGCATTTCACAATACACTCGCAACGCCCACTGCACAGAAAGCACGCCCTGTGACTGAGTTTAGCTCGGGAACTGGAACCAGAATTCTCAGCTCCTCACGCTGCTTATTTACCAAGTTCTGCTGTGTTACGCTTCCCTACGGTCTTTCATTTTTAATGGAGCTGTACTGTAATTCCACACTGCACTTCTCTGTCCTACATTGTCAATCCACTGCGCCTTCAGCATTCTCTCTTCCTCACTCTTATCTGTGCTGCACAGCAGGCACACCGCAGCTCCCTGCTCACGCCCCTTCATTCTCACTTAGCTTAATTCAAAAGCGAGGGCCCACCTCAGCAAGGAGGAATTATTTTCCAAGCGAAAACACATAGCCGGGCTGTGGTGTGACAGAGACGCTCGGGGGTATTATCTTACTGGATCCCATTTCAAGCACCACGCTCGGGGCAGTATTCCTGGAATGCATGCCCTGGGTGCCAGGGCCTGATAAAGTTACTCATCCCTTTCCTCACTCAGATAAGAGGGAGCACCTTGCTCTCACACCAGCTATAAGACATCCGCCTGCCCCGTTTACAAATCTGCCTAATCTCCATATCAGAACCGACTGGATGTGAGAGGGAAGAGCCTGGTTCCTGCACCAGGATCAGTATTCCGAAACCTAGCAGCATTGTCCAGGCCTTCTCCTGTCCCTGTGTTATTATCATCCATCCGCACAAGCCTCTGCATCAGTCCCTGCACGATCACTGAAGGTCAAGACTGTTTTTTTATGGCCAAGGTTGAGCTTGGTTGTGTGAGGTCAATGCACAGGCCACAAGTACCACTCAGAAAACCTGTTTCATGAATAGATCAGAATGGGGGATGTGGTGAGGAAATTACAGGAAGGAGGGGTGCAAAGTGAGTTAATTTTCCTCCAAGTAAATAAAGAGTGGAGAATGGGAACCAGAGTCTTGTGTTGCTCCAATCGGCCAAAGAGGATTTGTGAGGGAGTCACAGGCTTCAGAATTGTTCTCGTGAAGGAACACAAATAAATATGTTTCCATGAATCCCATCACTGTTGTTGCCAAAATAAAAAAAAATGACTTGAAATTCAAACTGTCTTAAAGTGATCTTATTTAAACCCCTTTTCTAGATAGTGTCCTCCCAAAACAGGAGATCCTCCTAAATGCCCTGTTTCCCCCTGCAATGCAGAATATAAAGTCAGTTCCAGCTGACCTCCTGTAGTGTCACTCTTCTATTATTCCTGCGTCTTCTCTGGATCTGCCTCGTTGCTACAGCTTAAGAAGTAGCAGCACTCTGCTGTCAGGCTTCTAGCCCTTCCAACACAGGGTTATAAGTGCTTCAGCTCTTATCTCTGGCCAGGGGAGCTGATATCATCTCCAGGAAATCAGCTAAGAGAAACCAGCAGAAATAAGATTACATTTAGGCTCTCTTCAGGTCCAAGACAGTGAACCCCTCTGAGCGAGATTTAGCACTGTTTGTATTCTGTCCAGCCATTAGCAAAGTCAAACTATACAACAGCAGAACACAACCAAACAAAGGACTAATGAAGCCTTATTATATTTACTGCCTGCTACCCTTAGAAAATAATTGACCTATTTCAAAGAAATGAGAAAATCAGGGTTCCCAGAACCTGCTTGTGGGGCTTGCTATTGTGGAGTTTTTGGGGACCAATCCAATATTCCACTCTGTTGCTGGGACAAGAGTGTCCTTCCTCCATGGACTCTTTATGGACAGGCTGCTTTTTCCACCACAATCTGGGAGGCCTTGACATATCATTGGGTGTGAAACAAAAAAAGAATCTAACATTTTTAAAACATTGAAAGCTGGGCCAGACTAGCGCCACCTAATACCAGACCTGGGGAAAATCATCCACACAGAGGATTTACATACCGTGGGTGTAGCCAAATACATTAGCCTATGTGCACCCAGTGTTGAAGATCATGAGAGAGAGTATTAATTCAAATTGAAATCGATGTAATTCTAATGTGAAGCCTTTGGCATGGTGTAACGTCCCCGAATAGAAGGTTCAGACCCAGAACGTACTGAGGGATGTGTTGGGTATGGATTCCTGGGTGTGTTTTGACCTCAGTTTCCTGGTACCCTGGCACTGACATATCTCATATTCCTTGTACGCCAGAGGATATGGCTTAGTTAAGGAGTTAAAGAGGTCTTGGACAATGCAGGAACTGCATAACAAGGATTAACCTCACCACGAACAGGATCCCAGCTCCAGATCTCACCTCTCCGGGAATAAACCAGTGGAAATGGCCTAGGAAGACTCAAGCAAACCTGAAGGATGATAAAGAAGGACTTATCTCCTACAATGGCTCTCTTGCTCCTCGCCTTCAAAGCAGATTCATATCAGATTGGGAAAAAAGTTTTTAAAAAACACAGTCGTTAAAATCAAATCTGTGTCTCTGGAGACTAGGGAATGAACAAGCCTCCCCAGTGGGTAGAAGGAGGAGAAATGCAAGCTGCCTCCTAAAAAGAACTGCTTAACGCCTCACGCCTGCTTCATTCAAAAGACCACAATCATGAAGAAATCACTAAGAGTCCACGGGGAAGGTGTCCCTCTACTTTGACAATGACATTTTGATACCATTTTAGGAACTGTTGAGTGATTTCAATACAGACAACCAGTCTTTAGCACAAATTGTTTGGGAATTAAAATTCAATGAAAGCCCTGCTGGGAGAGGGGGTGGACAAACTATACTGCAAACATGCTGCCTACACTAGTTCTCTTTTCCTGGAGCAGTTCCCAAAAACACCAGGGGGGCATTGCTGGGAGGGAACTGTCATCGAGCGATCTACCAGCTACGAAAGCTCGGCCCGGCGGACATTTTTCCAGAATCCACGGGCCTTGCAGACGTTCGCTCCAGGAAGAAGCTCGTCTACACAAGGCTCGGCCAGAGCCCTGGCCCTCTGCCCTCGTCAGGAGCAGATGAACGTGTGCCTCAGTGTCTATAGTCCCACACACGCTTGCCTGCAGAGCCACAGCTGTGCTCTTACACAGGCCCACCCTGCTCTCCCGGACTCGGGCTACTGCCATAATCTTCTGTACAAAGGATTGTCACACGGTACTGCATAGCAGATTCATATCAGATTTGGGAAAAAGGAAAAAGAAAAATACTCCTGTTATCCTATTTCAGAACCAGAGGACACACGTGGTTTGGTGAAACTCATAAAAGGAGGCAGTTCTCTCCACAAACCGTTGTGGGAGTGTGGAACAAGCTACTCAACCATGCTGTTGAAGCCCAATCACTGGCTTTGAAACAGCTTTATGTGCTTTCACTGTGCCTGCATGTTCACGTTCTTTTTGTGTGTGTTACTCGCTGTACAGCACAGTGCTTGGTCTTCAGAATCATGCAGATATTTGTATCATGAACATGGAGCCACAGTTGGGAAACCAGGCAGGGTTTCAGGAACTCGACATATGGTATCTTCAAGCTCTGTAAGAGGAAATGTCACTCCGCGGGACAGAGCTTACAGAGACATGCATGAGGAAAGACTCAAGACACACACAGTGAGAACTTGTGGCCGGGTCTTCTGCTCATTTCTTTTCTCAGTGGAGCTATCAAGGGAGACTTTGACAGCACCCCATTTTTCTTGTTTCCTGTTCTTCATCTAATCTTGTTGTTAAAGTTTTAAAGACTCAGAAGACCCCCTCTCTCTCCCTCTTGAGACCTCATACGACAGTCGTTACTCTGCTGTGTCTCTCTGCAGAAAATCAAGCTCTGTGGAACGTAAGAAGGAGGGAACAAACTTTTCCTGTTTGCAGTCTGTTGTGTTCTGTGGTGAAGAAAGTCAACAGGACCAAACGCATTTTGTAACAATTACAGTTCTATTTGTTTACACGAGCACAGCTCTTTAAAATTGTCAGTCTCATATTCTTGGCTTGTACACACAAAGTAAAAGTTCCTGATTGTAAGTCAGGTTAGAAATGGGCATCTGCAAAAGCAAATTATTTATAATAGTAGTATTAATATAGTAAGGAAAACATGAACTGGATGATCACAATGCTCTAAATCTATGTCTGCACACCCAAAGAGATTGAATTTATTGTTTATAGATTCACAATTAAGAAGATGAATAAAGCTGCGTTATCCTATATCCTGTGTAGGACCCCTCATCAGTATTTCTATCTCCAGAATTGCAGACTGCTTTGATGTGGATTCCTGGCTGTGCACTCTTTCTTCTCTACGGTACAACGTGTTTTGTTTTCCCTGGTGCTTCACTGAAATTCTGAACGCTTTATATTGAATTATGTTTCACAGTGTAAAGTAACAAAACAGGATATTTGTATGGATCTCAACAGTGTTCTTGTCCTGGTTTATAGCTGCCTGAATTTTACTGACAATGTTGTGGCTCATCACTTTCAAGAGATCAATCGTCGTGAGAGGCTGTGAAATTGGTCGCATCTCAAACAAAGATGTCTTAAAAACCGCAGCTACAGGCCCTATTGTGAATATGCAATCTCTGTTATCCTGCATTGACAGCAGAAGGAATACTGATCAGCAGATACAGTACGTCCTCTGCACTCACAGCGAAGAGCAGCGCAACCTGGTCGAGCCAGCTTGCCTGCTGGCCGCAAGTCTATCTGCATTAGTCTGACAAGTTCACTGTGCAGAGGGGTGCTGACTCAAACTCCCATCCAGCCGCCCGTATCTTTAATCTGCTGGCAGGAGTGCTGTTTGTGTCAGGGAGTCCCTGTGACGTGCGCGTTATTGACACTAGACAACCTCCGCCAGTCAAAACGAGATTTGTAGGCTTTATCGGCTCCACATAAAACCAAAACTGTTTTATGTTTTGAATAAACACGATTAACACGATAAGCGGCACATCCAGAACTGGGATTTGCCACGCCAAAGACAATGTCCCCAAAGTCTTCTGAGAAACCCGTACCGAAAGAGACAAACACGCTGAACTTTCGGGAACGTTAGCTGAATGACTCCCGAATTTCCCCTTTCTAAGTAGCATACCAGCGTTGCCACGAGAATCGTGCATTTCTGGCAAAAAAATGATGGCACTGTTTCGAATGAAATTGAACCGCGTTTGTTTTATAAAAGCTTTTTCTCTGGTATTTTTTCTTGGAATTCCAGTCTCCAACGGGAACTCAGAGAAAAAGACAAAGGAGGCATGATAGCAGGATGCAAACAACGTTTAAAGTTCAACCCTGGATCTGGGAGTCTTCGGACGCTCCCCCCTACCTCCACTGAGAGCTCCCTCTGGATGAGCTTCTTCGTCTCCCGCTCACAGTAGTGCAGCATAGCCTCTCGGTTGTAGGTCCCCGACGGTTGTTTGTCCGTCTGGTTCCGCTGCCGGAGCCCGACGGGCACGTTGGGGTCGGGTTCGGCCACGTCCAGTTCTTTCTCCAGCTCTTCCATCTCCTCAGGCGACAGGTTGGCCAGCAGGTTGTCGATGTCGGGATCCTCGCTCACCTGTCGTCTGTATCGCGACATCCTGGACATGTCGACGACCTGGCTGCTAACGAAACCTGGAAGATACAGGAGTATGGGCTTCCACCACTAAAAAAAAAAGTAAAAATAAAATGTCCACACCAGGTCAGCAGCTCCTCCAGAAACAAAAAGGCAGGTCCAGTCTGCTGAGGTACCGCACGCTGGAGCGAGAAACCGAGCTGCTCTGTCCTGGCAAGCGGGCAGCGCAGAGTGGACAACCAGCGGAGCCCGGGAGCCTGTGAGCAGCGAGACTAGCCTATCAAAGCCGTCTGAAATCCGAGGACATTCCTTGAAATCCTCCGCAGCTCCATGCCCAAATTTAGTTCACAACATTTAGCCTTTTAAAGGCAATAGGAAGAAGGGGGTGAGAGTCGGGTGAAATGTAAAAGCATGAGATGCTGATACGAAGCTGTAGAGTCAGAGTTTTTTTTCCCCTCGTAATGAAACATCATTAAAAGTTTTGGTTCTCAGGCTCTGGCTGGGAGACCACAAATACTAAATTTGGAAGGCAGAATTCTTTATTCTTTCCTGGCAACAACTTTGAACTTCATTGCAAGTGTTCCGTTTTAACTTTTTGTTTGTGTACAACAGAAGAGTTGAATTATTCTGTCTTTCAAAGAATCGAAGGAAGTGCAATGAAAAATATAAATGCACAAAAGTATCAAAATACATGTTCATGAAAAAATTGGGTCAGAAACAAAAAGCAATATTTGTGAAAAGCCGAGACGAACGATAAAAGATGAGTGACAACATTGGTACTACGGAGAGGCACCGTGCCAGCTGGCTCGCTAGTCGCTTCCTCTGGGTACCGGTTCTCCTCAGACCTCGGACCCCGCCTGCTGCTGCCCAGTCCCGGACCCCACCGTGTTCGGGGTGTCACATGCGTGTGAGGGTTAACTGTGGTGCATCATGGCTGCAGTCATGAACTGCACATGTAAGCATTGTGAAACCGTGCTAAAGAATGGTGCAGCGTACCTAGGCATCGTAATGCGTAATAGCTTAATATGCACGACAGGTAGCGCTATATAAAGGTGTCAACTAAGCAAATGATAATACGAAATAAGGACTATTGCTGGCGCGTTAACCGGGTTTCGACACATTTGATACACGTTAATCCGTCACTAAAAGGAGGTTTGATTGACAAGACGCGACGACTGTTTAGTTGGTTTAGGGTTTGCTCGCTCCTACTATTCCCCACGGATGGCCGGACTTTCACTTCTGGGTCCCGCACGGACCAGAGCTGTTGTACGTATTGAACTTGAACTTGAACTTTATTGCCATATGTAACCGGTACTAGTACATTGGAATTCTTACTCACAGGAAGTCTCTCTATTGTAAAACAAGTGTAAAAAACAAGACAAAGTGCAAACAGTGCATCAAGACAATATACAGACAAACAGTAGACAATGAACAAGTAAACATGTAGACAGTTTGAATGTAAACAATACAGACGTGTA